TTCTAGATTTAAAATCTATAATAAGTGAAGCGTATATTTAATTAAGTTATGTTTATAGTCCTATACTAAATGCATAAATTAATCTGCGCGGGAGAAAACGGGACTGTGGGCGAGGCTAAATATAAAAGCAACCCGACTAATAGTCTCCCACTTCAAGCAGGTGGTAGCCACTAGGTAGGTCTTACGGCAACTCTCAGCAGTAGTCTCAGTCAGACAGTTATCGTGTGAGTTTCTTAAGAAGTGGTCGTGGCTGTCACGAGTGTGAATTTTTAAAAATAAGTTAATTTTTTGTTGTAGAAAATAATTTATAGATTAAGATTTTAGTCTAGTGTTTTCTTTTAACATAAAGTCAGTTTAACGTGTACATACTTTAATGAAACTTTGAGTCTGCATTTTGTTTATTTAGAATTATCAGTTGTTGTCTTAGCGCTGGTTTACAATATTTTAATTAAAGCACGCATTTTTATATTTATTTTTAATAAATGAAATCCGAAAAGATTTCTGTCGTTTGTTATTTGTTATGTTTTAACTCCCCGTGATAAATTGGAAGACGTAGTGAGGTTTTTGTATGGGTTACAAATTGCCTTTTGATGAAGGGAAGTGATAGAATTTTGAGGAGACTTGACAGGTCATCTTAATAGTTCTGTAAAATGTTGTTAGTGCGATATTTTTATAGTTTCTTTTATATTAATTTGTAGAGACCGAGAGTTAATAGAAATTTGATAGTTTTTGAATATGTATTATATCAATCTATTCTATCTTACTTTGATAGCTTTGATAATTAAGGAAACGAGTTTACAATAACAACCGTAAACGCGTCTTCGGATACTTAACTACTTAGTTAGTTATTATGAAACTGGAATATAGTCTTTATAAAATATTAAAGCGTAGTTTTAACGTCTGACAATACTTACTAGACACGTTCATAATATAATAATTATTTTGTGGAAGTGTTTGTACAGAATTTATAAAATTATTTGAATAAGAGAAATCTTTATTTACTTCTTAGTGAACCAATGAAATAATTCAACTCGATTTTCATTGTGCGATCGGCGAACTTTTTACTTTTTGCTCAACTTTGCTTAGATTTAGTTTTTAGTTGACATTGTTTAAAAATCTTTATTATTAATTTCAAAAGTTATTGATATCAAACATTCTTCAACCACAACAACATATTCTACCTATTGAAATTGGTTGGGAGATGGCGTGTATTGATAAATAAAAAGTTATAACCCAAATCTAAACTTTGAGTAATTTGTTCTCATTAGTTTTATTGCGTATTTATTTCTTTCACCAATCCCAAGTAGTTATTATGAATCTCTAAATAATGTAATGCATTTAGTACATTACCCACGCAGTTAGTAATTAATCAAAATATCAAGATTAGTTAGTCGACAGTCCTTAATTTATTCTTATTGGCTTTAAAACATATACCAATAAGTTTTATCATGTTTATGCTTTGTTTTCTTTTGTTATGCCAATGCATTGAACAGATAAATAACTATACTTAATTATTATTATTATCACGATATTTCACTTGATGAAATTTCGCACCACCTATTTTAATTTAAAACAGGTTGAACACTATATGGGAAAATGGAATTTCTTGTTTTCACTATCTACCATTTTTACATATTTTCTCACTGTTTTACTGCCTTCCCTGGACTATGACAAATATTTCAAACCAAAACGGCTAAATCAGCTCATCCATTATAGATTTTACCGAGACGAATGAACAGCAATTTTATTTTTATGTATATAAAATATGGATTTGCCCCATGTTTCTTCAAATTTCATTCATTGGTCGATGCTCGCGAGGCTATCCTTGACGTCGCGTAATATGGAAGTCATTTTCGTGACTCAAAAGACTTTTATATTTATGGAAATAGAGAACAATCTTGTTGCCTTTTCGTGGTAACAGATTACTAACGCCATCTATGCACCTGACCCAAAATTTTAATTGATATACCTATACATATATATAATCACTGTATAGTACATACACTATGTATATGTAATAGGTTCGTAACCAATGAATACATACTTTTATGACACTTGTTGAAGAAGTTAATCTCAACTTTTTATAAAGAACTTCTTCAACAAATGTCACAAATAAAAACTTATACATAAACTATAAAGCTCGAGTTATTTAAAATAAAACATCTTTTATATTTATTTCTTCTTTATTTTCATACATTTCATATGATATATATTTGCTAAATTTTCTAAATGATCATTAGGATTATCCATTTTTCTCCTACCAGACAATATTTTATTTATGTCTTTGCAGTATGACCGTATAAAAAATTTCAATGTATAGTTATACAAAAAAATTTTTAACCGATTTTTATGTGTCGTACATTTAATAATATTATTTATATCAATGTTGAAATCGATCACTAGCATTATATATTGTAGCAAATACTCGCTATTATATTTATCTTTTATAATTTCATGAAAAACATCTTGTATTTGAGATATTAATGTAATGAACCCCTCACTAGGGTAGCATAACCAACTACGCTTTGAATATTCCCTAAATTTCAAATATTCATTTTTTTTGTTTTCATCGAATAAACACGTGTTACAATTTTCGCATTTCCGGAAGATTCGCTTTTTGCAAACTTTTAAGAAAAAGCCACTGACATACGTCAAAGAAGCAATTCCTTTTATATTTTTTTTCTTTTCATCCAAAGGCGTAAAATTTATTAATAAATGCCGCATTTCAATTTGCTGGACATTCCCCTTGTTTTTTATTCTCGGATTTAAAACAAATGACTCTAAACTTTCGCAAAAATCTTGCTCACAATTATTACCAGCTGCATGCACACTGGTCATATTATTAATCAATAGTGCAGTATAAGCGGACTGGAATGCGGCAGGGCTTGGATTGGTGTTTCGGCATCCATGACTTCGGATAGACCCGAAAAAATTTTCAAGAGGGTCTTGGTTGAGGTGTCTTGACCAAAACGATGTGATATTCATTTGAGCTAATATTTTAACTAAATATATGAACCCATCAATTGTCCAAACAAAATTATTTAAGGTTGGTGTAGTTTTTGTTTTACCATCTTTGTCAATGAATTTTATGGTACTCATGTTTTTTTTTGTTTTATGCCACAATTCATTATGCACTGAAGTGGGTGTCACAGCACTTAAATATGGTTTTCCATGTCTTCCTTTTTTTGCATAACTTGAGTTCATGCTGTCAAACAACTTATCAAAGATAATAAGTAAGTCTGCAGTGTCCACGCATTCGGCAGGTAAAATTTTTTTCTCTGGAAATGAGAAGAAAATATGTATTGTGAATAAATAAGTAGAGATGGAATCCAAACTATTATAATTTACACATCATCATGATCATCTCAGCTATTATGATGCTAACTGCTATATATAATACTAATACTTCAGCAGCAGTTTGCAGTGACAAAAATATAGATAGATTTGTTAACACTAAACTCATGTGTCACATTCAGAGTCTTATCACTCAACAGTGATCTCTTCTACACAACCTTTGGATGGAGATAAGTTTTATGAAAACAAAAAAAAAGTCAGCCTAGTATCAAGATACTGCTTTATAATATCTTATCACATATTGCATGATATGTAACGTTAATGCCTAGAGGGGCAGTGGTGCACCTCATATATCCTATAATAATTGAAATATTAGCTACTTTATGTAAAAGAATATAAAGAATAAATAGAATATAATTACCTGCTAAATAGCCCATCATAAGTCCAACAGTTTGGCTGAAAACCTGACTTGCAAATTTTACACGCATTTTGGCAATTTTTACTTTGACCACATGTTGCTCTGATAGTTTTGTAATCATTCTCAAGCCTTTGTAAGCTGGATTCTCAGCATATAACATTTCAATATGTTCCCACTTTCCTTTGCAATGTTTTCCATTTTCATTAGTAAATATTAAATCTCTTTGCAATAAATTATTCCTAATACCCTTTAGTAAATGGGGAGGATCATATAATGGAACAATCTCTGACTCATTTATTTTAAAAGTATTTTGTTTTAGTTCCTCCCCATTTCTTAACTTTTCGATTCTGTGTTCTTCAACCAGAGTTTTAATAGCTTTTTGATTATTAGTTCCCTGGTCGCAGACTGTTGCTATAATGTGAAACCCAGCTTCTTCTACTTTTTTAATTATATCAATGATATATTTTTTTAATAGTGTAGCACCTGTAGCTCCAGCACAGAACATGTAAGCAATGGGTTGTTTGTAGTTTTTTATTAACCCCCTTAACATAAAAACTAAAGCATGATTTGTGAATTTAACTGTGTTTCCGTCATCTATAAGTCCATTGATTTTATCTTCATTGACATTATAGTTAAGATGGGCTTGTAAGGCAACCTCATCAAACAACAGCACACATAGCTTCTCACTGTCTTTCATCTGTTCTGCTTTATCTTTAAGTTGCTGAAATATTTTTTCATCAAATAGTGGAGCAATTGTAGCCTGTTGAACAATTTTGTCTAAGGTTTGTGTTGCTGGCAAGAGAAGAATTTTTCTTAAAAATCTGTAAGACTTAGGACTTTGTTTATATATAGTCAAAGCCACGATTTTCTCTTTTAAGGTAAATCGCCGACCTTTGCCCTTTTTTTTCTGCTCTCTAAATTGCAACAGTGTTAGTGTTTTACCAGCACTCGACATATTATCTAAATGTTTCATGAATGACTGGTTGGTCATTACGTATTGTGCCATTTTCATTGATTTAGCAATCTTTTTACTTTGGCTACGGCACCTGCTTAGTTTTATTTGCAAGAGTCGTAATCTTTTGTATAAAACTTGCTCTTGCTTTGAAATAAATCTCTTCTGTGTCTTTTTTATCACTAAAAATTAAAATAAAATGCATAATTACTTATTAGACTTATGTTGATTGATTTTATTTTTTTATTGAAATATTACAATTACCTCTCTCACAACTAGTCATAGGTTTAACTGAGTATGGAATCATCACAAAAAGATTACGATTATAACACTGTTTTACAGTACTATTAATGAAACTTGAAATGCATAATTTGTATATAATATTGCATAATGTATATTAAAAATGATGCAATAATACTTTTAGTAGACACAGCCAGTTGCACAAACATCCTTTTAAATGTCATTTAGTTTAAAACAACATTAAAGGTACAAATTTGACATTTATTAGAGATTAAAGGTGTTAATAACCATGATGGATGTTTGTACAAACTACAAAGTACATGAAAAATATTTAGTTAAATTACCTGTTTTTGCTAATGAATGTTTTGTTGAAAGACCTGAAGATTTTTTTGATACATCAATATTACCATTATCCTTTAAAACGGGCACTGCAAAAAGTGTAACAAATTAATAGGGTTAATAGGTAGTAAGTTTATATATATATAGAATTGGTTACAAAACTATTTTATTAAAAAAACTAAGCAAAGTTCAAAAATCGCATAACTACAATTTATATATTTCATACAATTTGAAGAAAACTATAAAAATACCTGTTGATGAACAAGGCCTTTCAGAGAATAAGTCTGAAATTTCCATCTGTGCATCATCATAGTGCCCTGGAAATAGATAGCTAGTTTAAAAAAAATTTAATTAGGTGTCTACACACACTCACAGGCATAGTACATGATCCTACTTATGTCTTCTTAGGACTTATAACATTATTTAAAATATAAGTAATTTATTAAAGATCACAATGAAGTAACTTACTCATATTTTCTTTACTAACAAACTTTTCAGAGATTGAAGCCGTACTTTGCACCATCTCCATGGCTTCATCATCAATATCCATACCAAAGAGTCCACAAGAAGCTGAAACATTTGAATTTCAATGTAATATTAGACATAATTCCTGGATAAAAACACTGTGCAACCTGTCATAGTTATAAATATGAGTATATAATTTGATAAATCAATACTAAAGTAAAATACATATTATTTTAAAGAAACCTATATAGTAAATGAAATATTTGTAAGTATATTAACAAGTTCAATGCATACTTTGATCAATTACAAAAATGATACAAAATATATACCTTTAGATGTTGAAGGTTTATTATGTTTCTCAATATTGTGAACATCCTTCATACAACTGTGTGCACTAAAAGTAAACTTCGGTATTGTTGATGGTCCTGAAAACATATTCTTTAAGTTAAATAAATATGAGATATTTAACTAAACAGTTGGTTTTCTAATCATTCTAATTTGCCTATCTAAACTAGGCCCATACAAATTTGAATTTTTAAAGATTAATCAGCTCCCTGATTGTCTAATTTTAAATCTATTGCAATCGCTTTCAGTTTGAAAGGTGTTGCACAACCATTGCTGCATAATACAAATACTTTTTTTTCAACTATCTACAGAAACAAGCAATGGTTATACAACATCTCTCAAACTGAAAGCGATGGCGATAGATTTAAAGTTAGACAATTAGTCCCCAGGCACCAACAAAATTGCTTTAATTTTTTGACTTATTATTACAATTGGAAATAATATAAAAATAGCTTTGTATATGATAATATTATCAAACATGATGAATAACAGGCAGTTGCACAAACACCCATTAAAATTGTCATTAGTTTAAAGTGACATTACTGATACAAATATTGATGTTTTAAACTTTATCTAATATATACACAGTCCAACTATTTTCTATTATAATGGTTTTTAATTATTTGGAAATAACGATTACATGAAATGTATTTATGAACAAACATCACCATACTATGTTAAATGGACTATAAGAAATAGTGTGAAAAGGGCATTTTTTGCTTTAATGGACGTTTGTGCAACTGACAGTAAGGGTTGTCAGTGAATAAAAAAATCCCTAAATCTTTACAAGCGCCATAAATTCAAATAAAAACTACTTAAGTAAATATAAATTTTATCAAAAAAAAGTTTTAGAAACTTACTCGGTAAATTCTTTGTTGGTATTGCTGATTGACTGAGTTTGTTAGAGTAATAACAGTATTGTTGCTCAAAATGCTGATGACAGACTCTGCGGTTTTTGTAAATCCAATCGTTGTCCAGGCCCAAAATGTCGCCACCAACAGCAAGAACCCATGATCGGAAACGATCGGGGTCCTTCCCAGGATTAGGAAACACATGTAGCACGGGATGTGTATCTAGAAATTAATACAAACAATACGCGTTAGGTGACATGAAAGGAGTATGGAAATGAATTGAAGGATAAAAATGTATTATCAGTTGTTTAACTTACTTTCACTGCCTGCACATCCGGGCACACAGCAATATTTCTTAGACATGCTGGAAAATGCACAATATTATACTATCTAACACTGGAGTCCTGTCTCTCACAATAAAAACTGTCTTAATTCACACAAAAAGAACAATACAAGTTTCGGCCAAGCCGGAGGATTTACTCAACTCAACGTACTTGACAGAAAACAATAATTGCTGAAATTGAGGACGAAAACGCAACGCACACGCAAGAACGATCACTCAATACGCGGTGGGAGCCATTTTCTAAATTTTTGTTTATAAACTACATGAGTCTAGCCAGACTGATAATCATCTAATACTACTCTTTTTAAAACAAAATAAAATTTAGCGAATTATAAATGATAACAATTAATTAGGATGAAATTCTGTTATCAAATAAAGCATTTTAATAAGAATAACTAAATAATTACTTTGTTTATTAATAAATATCGGATATTGCAATTTTCTGTCTATTACCAGAAACAATCTTTTATCTACCATGGGTTGAAATAAGTTTTATTGTGGCAATATTTCAAACAAATATTATGCTATCAAATCCGAAAGTACACTAAAAGCAAACCTCACGTGATATTTTTACATAGAGTAAGGTAGAGTGGAAATATTTTCTATGGTTATATAAATATCATGCAATCTGAAGTTGACATCAAAAACATCATGTTGTCTTTTTTTAACTAATAAGAAGTTTCTTTAGTAAACAAAGATAACACTAGTGTGACAGTTCAAAATTTTTTACGTGACGTCATGAGATATAGCTATCGTACCACCTGTCAGCCATTTGCAAATTTGCTTTGCGTATTCTCGGAAGTAGTTCAGCTGTCAGTGTTATAAGTTTTGTGGTTATTTTCATTTATAACTTTAATTTATATAACTTTCATGGCAGAAAATTGTAAATTATTTATGCAAAACAATGCCTAGGTGCTGTATAATTGGTTGTGCGTCATCAATATCCCGCAAACCGAGCAATATTACGTTTCACCGGTAAGTTAAACACTTTCTTGGAATAACAGTATTTAAAACGTAAGTAAGTTATTCTGAAAATGATTGCGTGTATAAATCGATACACATCGTATTTTGGCGTGTTCTATTTATGCTATATTGCTCTTTTCGTTTATATTTTTATAATATTTCGGTCCGTAAATAATATTGTTTACATGGCTAGTGTCGTTACTTTAACATATGGTTTATATCGATAATTTTAATATTTAAAAATATATTAATTATTTTAGATTACCAAAAGATGAAACAAAAGAGGAAAATGGCCGAGTTACATAGAAGCAGAAAATATTAAATGTAATGAAAAAGTTACTTTTATCTGCTCACTTCATTTTAGGGAAAGTTGTTTGAATCGAACTTTAAATATAATAAAATTACGAGATGATGCATTGCCAATCAAATACTCTGGTAAGAATTTTTGACAATTGCTTTAAACTTATTTAAAATAAAATGTCTATTACACTTAGTTAATTTTCATTTGATTTTACTGATTTATTTATTTAGTTTTTTATATAGTCATTTTGTTATTCTATAAATGTACCTTATTTTTAGACTTGCGGTCATATGACGACTATTTTAATTGAAAAAAATCAGAATGCAATATATAATAATATTAAAATATAAAATTCTGATCATAATATACTCCCAGTAAAATATACAATAAAATGAGTTAAATAATTTTAATAAAAATTAAAATATGCACACTTATCAAATTAAAGGCATAGTTAAAGGTTTTCTTTGCTGTTCAATAGTATAATCTTAATACCCAAATCATTATTTTGCGACGTGGATGTTTATTTTGCTGATGCATCATAAAATACGCTACCTTTTTGAATTTAAATTGCTGACCGTTATCATGATTGTTCACAGAACATGAATTGCAGACTGTTTTAGTGCTGAGAAAATATTTGTATGCTTGCCTATTGATTAATCGGCTGTTTTCTTCTTGCTAACCAAATTTTTAAATAAAATGCCAATTGTTACTTCTTTAATAATGTTACTGTTATGCCAATTGTTACTTATTCATCACCATCTTTATTTTCTCTTGTTTATTCATCAAAGTTTACAGTATTTTTATGTTCTTTTACCAATAATATAATACATACAAAGATTATGTAGGTGTTTCAAGTTTTCCATGTTTACTACTAAACAAGATGTTCTGAACTAAAATTGTGACACAGTATGCACGGTATCTCACTTAATGAGGAGGAAGCGAAATTTATTCAGTCAAAACAATTTATTGAATAAATTTATAGACAAGTTGGCTTACTAGTTACAAGCATATAAGAAAGTCGAAACTCTGTGCAATCTATTACGGGAAACCTTGTACCGAGAAAAGAAGAAACTGTAAGAAAGGAACCGGTAAGAAACTGCAAGGGCTGCTTTTGCACCCTGTTTAATTTCGTACTGAAAAATAAAAAATGACTTCATTGGACCAAAATGTCACTTTCCACCAAAACAATAAAAAATATATAACAGACAAAAAAAGCATAATAATTCATTCGTCAATCGACTCATTAAAAGCTTATTATAGTTACCGTGGTAGTTATCTTGGACAGTAGTCACACTTCCCGTGGATGCAAAATTAAACTTATGTTAAAAAAACTATTTAATTATAATTGCAAAATGTCAACTTGACAATATATATGGAAATAATAATAAAACACGATTGATATTATTGTAAAACTTTTAAGATATATATTTTGGTACTATAGTTCTTAAAACTATGTAAAATTGGCTATATTAGAGGAAAAAGAAACATATTTATCGAGGTACAAACAGATTATAAAATTATATTATTAAATAATATAAATGTGAAAGTTTGTGAGGATGGATGTTGGTTACTCTCATGTAAAAACTACTGAACGGATTTTGATGAAATTTGGAATACGAATAATCTTTTACCCGGTGGGAAGCGCCATCATACGCTGGTAACATATGTTATATTTATTATAGTGACGTAACGGAGTCGCAAGAACAAAGAACGCAAGAAATTTTAGATGTCCAACAAAATACGAGCAAAAGATTGTTTAATGATTTATAAATAATTGATAATTACGATTATAAATAATTGATATTATTGATATTATAAATAAATGATTTATAAATAATTGATAATCACGCCACTTTTAAAAAAATATTATTTTCTTGATACTGGCGTGAATTTTTCAATTTAATTAATAATAATCATAAATAGGATTGGTACGTAAGTGTGAAATGAATAGAAGTGTAATAGGTAATAGTTTAGCCATGCCCCTAACAATGAAAATTATATTATATTATTTAATAAGTAGTATTATTGTAGCAGTTTCACGAAATACTAACTTTTATTTAATATGACTTCAATGTCGATACAAATATCGATATCTTGGGTCACGCCCTATGACAATCCGCCATCGAAGAATTTGCATTTGAAGTTTAGGCATATACGCTTTTTTCGTAGGTATGGCCGGTCCTCTTCTTTTATGTCTATGTATTTTTATATAATTTGATTTTGTCGCATTATAATACACCCCAGCGCTACCTGTGACTGTGACACGTAAACACAAATTACAATGTATTTAAATTAAAATGCTACCTTTCTTTTTGAATTTTACGTATAACTAGGCACCATCTTAATTTTAAAGGGTATTTGTACTACTTGTAACATGTCAAACTGTATTGAGATTGTAGTGCCTTCCATAAATATAAAAGTACTCTTTGCTCAAAAGTAGAAGGATGGGAATTAGGCAATGCTTGTTCTTAAATGGTCGTCAAAGCGCGCTGCGCTGTGATTGGTCCGTGGTCACGCGTCGTCTGTATGACACAATTCAGTCATTTTTGGCAAATAAGCTGTGTAACTAAAGATTTATAATCTCAACGGCCAAGCAAGCTCTTATTGGAGAATATTATTGAGGGCAACTGGTGTATCGATGAATGTGACCACCAAACAGCAGCTTTCCTACCTACTACCTTCTAGGAGTAAATATTACTCCCGTAGAACCTCGTATTGGGTTAAACTTTACTGTATTTCTGTTTAATAATATGAATTTTGATTAATACTAATTTACACCCAAGCTAAATCTTGTTTATTAATAACACTGTAGCAGAATTGACCAGCTGAACGTTTTACTGAATAGTTTTCAGAACATTTCAAAATACTATAAATAAAAGCTAGTTTTGTTGCAGTTAGCTTAGGTTTGGTTGATGTCTTTTATTAATTCAAACAAGTCACAAATCACAAAACTTCATTGAATCGTTTGATCTTTTATGACAACAATAAGCTGTATTTATGACCTCTGACACTGTTCAGAAATTATGATAAGCAAATGGCAGCCGTTTACTAAATAAACAATACCATAGTTGAAATATATTTTGTATTGTTAATAGCACGCTTTTTAAGTGATAGTCGAATTGTGAAAACAGATTCATCGTTTTGAACGCCATTATTTTTTACCACAAATACTTATGGATTCGAGTAATTTTCAAAAAACTATTAAATATCGTGAGTTTATGTTTGCAAATTCCAAATTTACTAGCCTATAAGTCGATAAGTATGGACTTTGCAGAAAAAAGCTTTATAGGACAAAAGTTGCTGAAAAAATATCAGTCTATCTGTTTTCATTCTTAATAAAAATATTTTTCTACCTCAACAAATTCGTAATTTGAGTGAAAGTAACTTTTAAGACAGAATCAATTTTATAGTAGAGGCGAACAGATTTTTCGTACCAAAATGCGTGCTGCTTAGCAATATACCGCGTGTTACAAAAAAACCCGTTACCCCGAAAATGGCATTGAGTATACATAAAACTGAGATAATGGACGCTGTCCTTTATATCGTAGCCATTGTATTTATTGAAAAAAACAATATCGAAGTTTAGCAAAATTTTCGATACCATTTATCGAAGCACACCGACATTATGATCAGCTGTTTCAGTTCATTGACTTCTAAATCAAAGACTATTATTTTGCCAGACTGGTTATATCTACTGGTATTTAGTGCCTACGTCACAGTACAGCGAAATAATTTATCTAGTTATGTGTACATACGCAAATATTCGAACATGCAAAATATTACACGAAAACATTATTTTAAAACTATTTCCAAAATTCGTTTTTATTCAGATTAGAGCTCCCTTTCCAATATACCTTGCCATATTACTATGCCCGTGCTACGCACATATCAGGCACGGAAACAAACAATAAACAGTACGCTATAGTCACTGCACTGGATTAAATACTTTCGCCTGAAATGCTCGTACAATATCTCTTTACGAACTGTAGACGGCCCATCCAAAATAATAATCTTTATAATTAATGCTACGACACGTCACTCAATAATGTACTCATAAAATCAATTTCATCTAATCTAAACAAATAGAGAAGCAGAGGAAGAAGAAATATCGCGACCTCTAGATAAGTAGAATATTCGTTATTGCACGAACAATTTTTTTTCATAATTAGGTAGTTTCATTTTTATGAAAATAATTACAATATTATGAAAGTAGGCGACGTATATCACTGAGTGTCTTCCAGGTAACTTTGTCTATCTGTAGCTGCTTCATCTTTGAACCAGAATTTTTACACATCGTGTCTTTAAATCATGATAACCTGGTACTCGTACCTACAATCTTCTGTTACGAAAGTAAACCTAATATGACGTCAGCGCAGATACAGTCGGGGAATAAATTGAAACATTGATCAATATTCGTGTACATATTTCAATTGTGTTTATGGTCAATTTATTTCTTTTCTAATATTTTTACAATAAAAAGATCAGACTTAAAATGGAATATGAACCTTAATCGGGAATATGATCATTCCCGATTATGGTTTCAACCACTTACTCTTACTACATGTAAATTGTTTCAAGTAAAGTGGATTGCTACCTTAGAGTTAATGATATGCACTACACTTAGGTATCTTAAAAGCGTCTGACAAGAAAAAATGTCGACAAAGAGCCGCTTTCTGAATTGAGAAAAGTACAAAATCTCAACTGAATATTCTCAATAACTGAAGTTTTTTTTATATTTCACTAGTCAAAAGTCCTAGTTTTATCAAACTGCTAACAACTAATTATAAAAAAAAACCGGCCACGTGAGAGTTGGACTCGCGCAGGAAGGGTTGTATCCGGTGCTAAGAAATAACTTCATTAGCTTAACTCTTAAAAATATTTTTTATTGTTTAGGTATTTAAATACGTAAGACAAATCAATACATAATCGGTAAAATCGAGCCTAAAACAAATTCACTTATTCCCCCGAGTGTACAATGACGTTAGATAGAGATAGAGAGGGAGGGAAAGAGAGAGAGAGAAAGAAACGAAACATTATCGTTCGTGTTTGTGTGATGTCGCGCGCGAGTGACGACTTGACGCTAGATACGGTAGTAGTAAACATTTGGTACGGATTTTAATTTATTATCTATTTTATTACTGTGGGCTATTCAACTCAATTTTGGAATCAGAGTATAGGAATGAGACGTTTTATTATGTACTGTTTACCTATTTCCTTAAATAGAAAAAGCCCTAAAACGACCGACACAGCTAACAAACAAATGGTCATTTATTTGAAAAATAGTTCAAAATAGAAAAGGTGTATAAAATGAGTTAAAAGTTTAAATAGGTATGTCGATTGTATGCAGATTACTACGGCCCACGAAATACATTAATTTATTTATTTAACGATGTCTTATGATAGTCGATGCTACTTCCTCTCTACAGACTGAGCCAAGCATGCTCTTTTGCAGGTGCAGCGTGAAAGTATATCACATTTCTCACTTAAACTAGTCTTTACCAAACATTAACAACGTTTAAGATTGTAAACACTAAAAATACAACCATGTACTATCTTATCAACAACAATAAAAATTTACAAAATCTTTGTCAATTAACAATTCCTAATACGTTACGTATTATGTACTTACGTACGTATGTAAAAAAATTAGTTGCAACAATGTCCTGCGACGATTTTTTTAATTTGTACAATAAAATGTTGATCACCTCGGTACTAGGCAACTAGAAGTTTAGGCTCAAACTTTAACATTGCCGCCTGTCTAGGGTTGCCATCTATCCGTCTTTAGCGGGACATGTTTGACTTTTTAGATTGTGTGCAGCTAAATGTTAATGTCACATGTCCGGCGGTATAGTTTTCATAGGTTTTTGGTATACCTGTGCCGAAGCTATATCAAATAAACTATGAATACACACAAATTCGAAAAACGTCAAATACCCAAATACCCAAAAAGACGCAGTGTTGCACGGGCATTTGCGAAATTTGAATACAAATCGTTAGTTAGTTTTCATCGTATAGTCTCCGAAATTACTTTATAAAAAAAACCTTTTTCAAAATAGGTTGTGCAGTTTTGATGTTACGATCAAGCCTTATTTTATGAATTCACGTTTTGGCTGTGATAAAAGCGTTAAAATTATGATGTAGTTATCTTATCTTTAATTACCGCTTATTTGTATGTTACGTCTTACTACAAAATCAATTGAAAGTTAGTGATTTTTGCTTAACGCACCCTCTGAATAACTAGGCAGTAACCCTCGCGAAGCCGTGAACTAATATTACTGTCTACTACGGTAATATTGTTTTACGGATTCGCGAGAGATTTGACTTAGTCCGGCTTTAAGGACAAAATTTCCGATCTAATAAGAGAAGATGGCAACCCTATCCCGCTACTTCTCAGATTTAATTGCGGAACTATAGGTACCTTTCTGTGCGCCTTTGACATGCCGCACACTATGCAGCGGCTTATAATAAAGGACTCAATTGGCGGCTTTCCCTTTTAATCACTTTTTCTTTATTCAGTTGTTCATACGTCGTCGATGTGATCACGTTTCGAAAATACGTGTTCTCTAATTCCGAGTACCATGAAAAGTGCTTTTATCAGTGTTACATCGGATGCAGTGTTGTATTGATATAAATTGGACTATTTTGAAAAGATGTAATTATACTGAAACATCAGTGAACCAGAGGTTGGCCGCGATCTTTAGTTTTTTCTTGTGGAATAAAATAAGTGCCTAATAAAGTGTAGGTGAGTGAACCTCACAAGTAATGCTTAAACAGTGAATAAGGAAGTGAAAAGGTAAAGTACAAATAGTAATTCGCAAATATTTATTTTTAAATACGCCAAAATCGTTTGTGAATTATGTCGCATATCATATTTTTTTTTATTATCGTAATATCAATCAGATTTGTCGGACCATTAAAGTATGAACTAAAAGTTAGACTCGTATATCAGTGTTTAAATAAATTTTACCTATCTATCATAAATAGGTACTACTTAAAATGGTGTTTGATCTGTAATTCAGAAACAGCTGAGTCGGAAACGATGCTATGAAATGATGTGCGTGTTGATAATAATATGTATTATGAAAATTTTACTGAAATTAGACTACCGGCTGAACAGCGTCCGTTACCATACCATTTTGCCAATGATTTGATTCCTATTTATTTTCTTTTCATTTTATTTTCGATCGAAATAGGTTAAGTATTTACTGTGTAAACTGGCAAACGCAGACATGTTTTTAAGTATATTTTCTCTCTCATTCTTAGTGTGTATGTGTGGGTGTGTACTAGGAGAATAGAAAAAAAAAATAGAAAACATAGGAGGTAGGTAGTGTGCCATTACTCCTGGTAAGGTCATTAACCTAAAATAGTGATGTGACATAGCACACTCGATGTATTTATTAATTATTAAAAATTAGCCTTTTTACTGAAAGTTAAAAGTTAATGCAAAGGTTTTGAAAATTTGGCAGAGTACTGTTTATATGATATACTTCAACACCCTTCAGCTATAACGGGTATTTTTGTAACACCCGGTATATAGGAAGATGATTAATGGCGAGGACGACGACAACGACGAAACTAACAATAAAATGAAAATTGAATTTCAATTGAATCGTAATTATAATTGTTATCTACTATTTTACAGTGTTTGTAAACAATTAAAACTAACTGTTTTCCCGTGACTTCGTAAGTGTATATTGAAGCTTATATCACCGGCGTATGATGTAACTTCCAAAAAACTTTTTCGAATCAAAACTGAAACTAACATAACTGCAAGTTGTTATAATTGAGGAAGATGTGTAACTTTTTATTTAATTTCGATAGAATTCAGAGAGAGTGAGTCGGAGTTTTAAAGTATTTATACACTTATCCTTGCCTTTTAGATAATTCATCGTTTTCTTCGAGCCGAGTCTATGATGGCATCCTCCTACATAAGCCCGCTGCCTGTTTACCTTCAATCGCCCATCATTCCTCCCAACCGTCCTGCGATACAGATTCCAACTCAGGATGCTACCAGCCCTTAGACTTCCAGACAACTGTGACGCAGTCTACTTCTGTGGAATCCCTTCCTATAGAAGACCAAAACATATTTTTAAAGGAGCCTTATAGTCCTAAGGTACCGGACTTGCCTGTTGAAAATTATCAAGTTCAACTGCTGACGTCTCTTAGTGAAAAGGTCACTCCAGTAGACAAAACTGATACGTTCGAAACTAATGAGAGTAAAACGTGCGATTTTCTTGTAACTGCAATAACATATTCGCAAGTAGCATCACCATCCAACAAAAATGTAGAGCGCAACTTTAAAAGAGTGGCTTCTCCTACTGAACACGTGAAAAGTGAGCCTATTATTCCTTCTAGTACAGGCACAATACCAATTTTTCTAACTTTGTTTACGAAAGAGCAGCACTTCTTGCGACAATCAAATCTTCTATGGAAGATTCGAGCAAGACAGCTACAATAATTCTTGAGTTTGCTCCTGGCTCTCAGCCATAGTCTCCGGCTCCAATAGCGTCAAATTTCCCTACTTTCTCTACCCCAAGAAATAAAGGAGAACAAGTATCGCCTCCAGTGATCCAACCAGAGCCTCAACCGATTACAGCAAACTCATGGTCGAGTTTGATTACATCTGAAACTCCATCGGGCATAACAACAGAAGTACTTTCGACTTCTACGCAAAAAGACCTTGCTTCGACCTTTCGTGTACAACTATCACCGCGAAACGATGACCCGAATTCATACCGGATGGGACGTACCTAACTTAGATTACCTATATTTAGTTTAGCTGAATTTTAACTAAATAAATAGTTTTTGGACAACGTCATGATATGTTTCTCTACATTCTATTTTACATGATGGATCAATAACTCTTCTTGCTTAAGAATTCATTAGTCACGATAGTTTATATAATATGTAGTAATACTTTAAATTTACATTCTATTTCAAAGTTATATAATGAGACACATTATAAACTGGATAACATGCCACAAGCCCCTCTCCCTTGGGGGACTAACAAATCCTTTCAATAATTGTTATGTAAACGCAATCCTCCAGGCGTTGATTGCTTCCCCGCACTTTTACAACATACTTAAGACGTTACCTTATCCAACAAGTGGAAAATCAAGAACCCTTGTTATGGACTCTATGTAACAAAGTCAATGCTTAAAGGTTTAAAAACCGTTTTGTGTAGCCTAATGTGATGATTTGAATTTTTTATTAGACTTTTGATAACTTCTATGATAAATAATTTTATTATTGCACATAGTGTTCAGCTCTGTTACAAGTTCAGTACAGCAACAGGTACAGTGCCTGCGTTCAGTGCAAGCAGAGCCCGGGGCAAAGGCAGGGGCAAGTACAACGGAGGCCCCATGATTGTCACAGAGCCTCCAATCGAAAGTGGCGCCGGCATCCGTGTATTAAGGGCTCTACGTTCCTTTCCTGGCTCCCAAGGGAGCATGCAAGAAGATGCTGAGGAGTTTCTGGGATCTGCTGAATTCTCACAACGAAGAGATGCTTGGGGTTTGTAGACATAAGAGATGTATTAAAAAATGTTACTGTGTATTTAAATATTTGTTAAATTTCTCATAGTGACTTTTTCATAGGAACCTTATTCTTTTTGGTTCTAATAAAAAACATACTTGAAGTCGCAATTTTATAATTAACGTGTTCCTGAACGTAACGAGAATTTAAATTAAATTCTCAAGGGGAACACGTTAACAACGCTTCATAATTTCAATGCTCAATAACTTCACTCGTCAATATCTCCAGTACTCTGTAGTGAGTGTTGAGTCTGGTACTTTTAAAAACATATTTGATTATTTTTTCAATACTTTAGGAAACACAAAATTCATAGTTTGTTTTTTCTTTATGAATATTACATACTTATAAAACCGGGTATTTTATGATGATGTTTCATTACAGCTGATAAATCTTGTTGTCTCAGAAGAGTATAAGGCCGACAACAGTCAACCAAATGCCGTCATCTCACAAGAGAGCCAAGGAAATGATAGCAGAGATAATAGATTGAAAGAGCGTCGTTGGGTGGCTGGTCGTACACCCATTAGCGATATCTTCCGGGGTAACACTCGCATGCGACTCATTCACGCCTCTAATAATGATGTCACCGATCATGTGCAATCCTTCTACACGCTGCCGCTGGATATAAAGATACGATGCAATGACGTTACTACGCATTAACAAAGTAAGAGTTTGAGCGCTCATTAGTGGAAATATAAAAATCTAATTTTATGTGATATGACCAATTAAAATTCCATGCTTTTTGAAAAGATTTACGTTTATCTAGTACTCAAGCAACTAGCAACTCTAGTACAAGGCCGGCAGCGTGCTTGTAACTCCTCTGGTGTTGCAGGTGTCCATGGGCGACGGTAATCACTTACCATCAGGTGATCCGTCTGTTCGTCTGACCCCTATCCCATAAAAAAAAAAAAAACGACAACAATATTTACTGTCAAGATCTGACCACTTCAATTTCCGAGCCTCTGTTTTTTTATAAACCTTAATCCATAAAATACTTGATGAGTAAAACAGATTACAACAAGTTTACCCGAGGGCTACCTGGACAAAAAAAATATCAACGACTTTAGTTAAATAATAGGTCTTTACCTATGAAATTCCCGTTCTGCCGTACTGACCATTTCAAATTAAATATTATTTTTTGGTTGATGATTCTAATTTCAAATGAATTTTATTTAAAAAACATGGAATTTATTTTCTCAAATTGTTATTTGTTTAGTGTTAAATATTTAATTTGTACAATTTTTTGGCGGGAAAAAAAATCAACACCCGAGAAACAGTACAAAATGCCGTTGAAGAATTTGTAGCTACCAATGCGTTGGCAAAGATGCATTGATTGCATGGGAGATAACTTTGATTAATAGAAATAAAAAATAAAGAAAAAAATGCGCTTCATTTATTTCATGAGAAACGGCAATTTCATAGGTAGTAAAGACCTAATATATTGCAATTAGTTTAATTATTTCCGTCGTTGATATTTCAGGTATCGTTTGTAATCTATTTGCCGTGTGCCGTGGGGTGCCGGCCTAAGAGTAGCACCCCCCCATATCCTCCCGTGGGTGTCGTAGGAGCCGACTGAGGGATTATACGGAAGGCGGGCAGCAGCGCCTCCCGGTATCACCTACCACCACCTACTGCGATCCCCAAGTCGCCTGCCAAGCGTGGGGTTTATGGCAACCCCCCCCCCCCCCCTCATGATGGACGACAATGATCTATGGCCCCCAGTCCCCGGCAGCCCCTCTATTACTGTCTCTTGTAGCGTGACAGGTAACGGAGGGGCAGGGGGTGCTAAGAATCCCCGGCAGATTCGGCGCTACTAACACAAACGGACTCTGGCCCTGGCAACATACAATGTCCGCACACTGAAGACTGACGTGAAGTTATTAGAGCTGGAGGAAGAATTGAGAGATCCGAAGAGAGGGCCAGGATACGGTAATCCTTGAGTCCGGTAACATGCTCTTCTTCCGGGAAGGAGATCAAAAATCTCAAGGTGGTGTTGGGTTTCTCGTCCACAAGTCCCTCGTGAACAACGTGGTGAAGATCGATAGTGTGTCGAGCAGAGTGGCGTACCTTATACTCAGAATTACCGAAAGGTATTCGCTGAAGGTCATACAGGTTTATGCCCCGACCTCTTCACACTCCGACGATGAGGAAGAGGCTATGTATGAGGAGATTTCTGAAGCCATACATACGACTAATACCTACTTCACCGTTGTAATGGGGGACTTTAACGCGAAGCTGGGCGCTTCGAACGGCGATGAGTTGAGGGTGGGTCGATTTGGGTATGGGCGGCGCAACCACTGGGGCCAGAAGCTGGTCGATTTCATGGAGAAGGAGGGACTCTTTGCGATGAACTCCTTCTTCCAGAAGAGACCCTCCAGGAAGTGGACCTGGATGAGCCCTGATGGTTCGACAAAAAATGAGATCGACTTCATCATGACAACCAGAAAGCACATATTCAATGATGTCTCCGTGATCAGCAGGGTGAAAACCGGTAGCGATCACCGAATCGTTAGAGGCACATTGAATATCAATGTTAAGCTCGAAAGATCACGTCTGATGAAGTCTACGCTCCGTCCTAGTGCTGCTCATATCGTGGACCCCGAAGCCTTCCAACTCCAACTACACAATCGCTTTCAGTGTCTAGCTGAATGCGAGTCTGTGGACGAAATAAACAACGGGTTTGTAGAAACAGTCCAAGCTGTGGGGTCTAAGTTCTATAAGGCCCCGCGCCGTATTAAATCTCAAAAGCTCTCAGACGAAACGCTCAAGTTGATGGCGGACCGGAGAGATATGAGACTGCAATCTTCAACCGATATGTCGGAATATGGTCGACTTAACAGACGAATTTCCAAATCGATGCGACGCGATCTGCGCTCCTATAATACTACACGTATTAGGGAGGCAATAGAGCGGAACCAAGGCTCCAAAGTGTTTGCACGAAATTTGTCTGCTGGGTCGAGTCAGATGACGAAGCTGAAGATCGACGACGGCAGGATCGTATCTTCAAAACCGGAGATTCTGATTGAGCTTGAGAGGTTTTATGGACAGTTGTACACATCATCACAACAACCCGTTGGAAGCAATGCTCAGGACACCAGAGCAAAGCTGGCACTCAAACAGCTCAAGAACAACAAGGCACTGGGGGATGACGGAATCACTACTGAACTTTTGCGAGCGGGTGGAAAACCGGTACTCTTAGTCCTCCAGAAATTGTTCAATTCCGTCATTTTCGAGGGTACGACGCCAGAAGCGTGGCACAAAAGCGTGGTTGTGCTCTTCTTCAAAAAAGGTGACAAAACCTTGTTGAAGAATTATAGACCAATCTCGCTTCTGAGCCACGTTTATAAGCTGTTTTCGAGGGTCATTACGAATCGTCTCGAACGCCGGTTTGATGACTTCCAGCCTCCCGAACAAGCCGGTTTCCGAAAAGGCTTTAGCACCATAGACCACAGACATACGCTGCGGCAGATTATACAGAAGATCGAGGAGTATAATCTGCCACTTTGCTTAGCGTTTGTGGACTATGAGAAAGCCTTCGATTCAATCGAAACCTGGGCAGTACTGCAGTCCCTCCAGCGATGCCAAATCGACTACAGGTACGTCGAAGTGTTGAAGCGTTTGTATAGCAACGCCACAATGTCGATTCGCTACCAGGAAGAGAGCACGAAACCAATCCAATTGCGCAGAGGCGTGAGACAGGAAGATGTCATTTCTCCGAAACTGTTCACGAATGCATTGGAGGACGTCTTCAAGCTTTTGGAATGGGACGAATACGGCATCAACATCAATAGCGAATACATCACTCACCTTCGTTTCGCCGATGATATAGTCATCTTGGCAAGATCGATGGAACACATCAGTACAATGCTCAGCGACCTGAGTATCGTTTCCAAACAGGTGGGTCTTAAAATGAACATGAACAAGAAGAAAATCATGTCGAATGTCCATGTTGCACCCGTACCGGTGGTCATTGGAACTGATACTCTCGAAGTTGTCGATCACTACGTGTACCTTGGACAGACAATCCAGTTAGGTAGATCCAATTTCGACAAAGAGGTCGCTCGAAGAATCCAACTCGGCTGGGCAGCCTTCGGGAAGCTACGCGATATCTTCACGTCCAAATTACCACAGTGCCTAAAGACGAAGGTGTATAACCAGTGTGTGTTGCCAGTGATGACCTATGGCACTGAAACGTGGTCCTTAACTGCAGGCCTCTTAGAGAAGCTCAGAGTCGCTCAGCGAGGCATGGAGAGAGCTATGTTAGGGGTTTATTTGCGCGATAGGATCCGAAACGTGGATATTTGCCAAAGAACTAGAGTGACGGACATAGCCCGCAAAGTTTGTAAGCTGAAGTGGTAGTGGACAGGCCACATCGCTCGACGAACCGATAACCGATGGGGACGAAAGGTTCTCGAGTGGAGACCACGAACCGGAAGACGCAGCGTGGGTCGACCCCCGACGATATGGACGGACGACATCGTCCGAGTCGCGGGCGGCCACTGGATGCAGCTGGCGCAATGTCGTCCGTCGTGGCGTTCAAAGGGGGAGGCCTATGTTCAACAGTGGACGTCTTCCGGCTGATGATGATGATGATGATGATGAAATTTCTTGAGATTTTGCAAAATTCATTACAGAGCTACATATTTAGTAGACAGGTAGACATTTGTATAATAGTAATTAGGGCAGAAGAATATCCATTGTTATCGATAGCTGATTGCTATTTAAATTTGTGTATATTTAATTTGTTAATAATTCTGTTCTTTTAATTAGTTCACGTGCTTGTCGTCGATAACGTCCATTAAACATTTTGATATTGCATGCAGGGTTGAGCTTTGTCAAGAGTTCAATGCAGCAAAGTGTAGAGCCTTTCGACCTGGAGTAGTAAGGAGCAGGATCAAAAACACTAAACAGTTTAAAGGCTTCATAAAAGAAAGAGATAATAGGCGAGAGTGTTGAGGTAGCGGAAACGCGTATTGAGGCGGCGGGAACGCGTACAGAAGCGCCTCCACGTTCCACACAGGACCTCCAATTGACGAGGGTGTCGGTATCCGTGTGCTGAGAGCTCTTCAATACACAGGAGGATGCTGAAGAGTTTCTATGATGCCTGCTGTATTCTCTTAAGATTGAGATGCTCGAGGTTTGTGAAAATCAGGCATATATTTATTGTAAACTTAGTTTTCTTATATGCCAACCTTGTCCTGACAATAAGGAACACATAAAAAAGGGTCATCCATTTTGGAGCATTAGTTCGAAAGTATGCGCGTACATACATTTCGTTGATACAATTTTATACATATAGATGATATTGTTAAATTTTTGCCCACTTTTAGTAAAATGATATTTATTTTTATTATTTATGATCCACTACATTACTGTGACATTACCATGTGATAATTTTTTTGTTGCATATGAAGAGTTTAAATGTTAATTAAGTTAGCTAGTATCCCACTCACTCCTTGTCCTTTAGCTCTGTCTATTTCAGCCGTTTGAGTTTTAAATATTATCACATATAATAAAACTTGCAGTTAACGCTATTATGATATTAAAAATACTTAAAATTTTCACAATTCCAAATTAAAAATATATAATTTTTGGTTGAAAAAATTAAGTTTATCATTAAAGATACAATATTTATATTTTTATAGGTTCACTTGTTGCTGGAGGCGTGAAACTCCTAATTCGCCGATGGCATCTCCGCAGCCGTCGGTGCCGGCATCATTAAGGTCGACGTCGACTTCGTCGCGTCATCACCGTGACGACCGCGTTCAGCATCTTAGTTAACTTCCAAGGCATCGGTTCGGTCGTCGTCGTAAGAGGTGACGTCATCGACGCCCTCGACAATATCGTCGCGGGGGCAATCGCAGTCCCTAAATTTTGAAAAGCTTTTGATGCGTCGTTCTCTCGTGGCTGATATATTTCAGGTCAGCATCCGCACGCGATACATGAATTCAGCGATTCCGTGCAACTATTCTTCACGCTGCCACTTGATATAGAGGTATAGTGTTAAAACGCTCCACATATTTTACTATGTCACCTTCATCACCAGCCTATTAATGTCCCACTGCTGGAGCTCACGTCTTCTTTATGGATGGAATCGAATCGAACCGAATAGGGAGGGACCACCACGCGACCCAGTGCGGTGGGTATTGACGATTGCAAATGCAACCGAGACCAACGTATTAATGTACCTTTCAAAGCACCATCAAGCGAGCGAGTACATTTTACTATTATGCTACTCATTATTCGTCCCTGAAAACGTACAATCGAGAAATTTAACACTTCTGTGTACACAACAATTAATTTAATGCGTTATTCTTAATAAAAAAATACTTTAAAAATCCACTTTGTCCCTGGTACTGTGAGATACTATCTCAGTGTGTGTTTTTTTAAGTATTATTTTATTGAAATGCGATATTTTCAACGTGAAATTGCAGTATACAACAAAGCAGCGCCTATTCATATAAACTATTTGCTGTTGTGTATCACGATGGTGAGAATGCCACTAAAGGGCACTATTTCACGGATACTTACAACGGAAAAGCTGGCTGGATAAGGTACATATTCAGAGACAAAGATATAAGTTTATCTTCATTATTAAATTTATATATGTAAGGATTGGAATCGTAACAAAGAAGTATACTATTTTTTTACTCTATCCCAAAATGTAGTTAGGTTTTATGTAGACTGCGGATTCTCGTTTTCTCTGTCATAATAAAATTTTCATAACATGGTGTAATTTATTCATCGACATTGGACAACCATGAGTCAAATAACATTTTAATTCCACTATATTAATTGAAGGTGGCACTATCTATTAGGACTTATTTGTAAAAATAAAGACTCGTTTATTAGTAGAGAGTAGACTTCTATGTATTATAACATACTACAGGACAGAGTGTATAATCTGGTGAAATGAAATAGTCATATGGTGGCACTGTGAAAATGTGTTCATAAATTATATTTTTAACACTTCCTTATTCATGCAGGTGCAACGATGCCAATGTGACAAAAGTTAGCTTTAGTCAAATTTTAAAACCGAATGCTCCATATATGCGGTATCTGCATATGTATCGGAGACATGATACATTGTCACCGCATCGTGCATCTGCCATATCCGACACGAAATAATAGTAAAGACAGTGAAAGTGACATTAAAGTGTACATATAGATAATATATTGTATTGTGTAAGCTTAGATTTAAATGTTAGTATTTAGGTATATTTGAGTTCCCATTCCTCAGAAGGAAAAAAGTAAACCTTAAAGGATCTGTTTGTTCATCTGTCCTTCTGTTTGTCAAGACTGATTGTATAAAATGAGAAAGTGTAGTTTAAGTATAAAATTCATGATTCACATTATTCTTTGAAATTAGTGTAGGTATATTTAATATATATATATGTCTGTAAAATTATTAGAGACATTTGATAAATTGTTCTTTCAACGTATTGTATGTAATTTTATAGAGTACGTTGGATAAGATATGTGTCTTGAATTTTTATGTTTGGTAGAGAGTCGGTTTGTTTATGTACAAAATTTGAAACAATGTGTGTTGTGAAATTTTAATGTAAAGTTTACTTTTAATAGTTGTAGTTTAAGCTTTCAATCGTCTTTTGGCTATTAAACGAAATCCTTACTTTATTACAAACTTTGTTTTTATAACAAATTAGTGTTATGTAATATTCTGATTGTGAATAAAGTATTGTGCTATTAAGATATATACTTTTATTATTCGCAGGACGAACAATACCCTGTTAAGCTCCTAGAGTATAACACAACATTCGAAAATTCTCTAATTTTTCTAGCCAAATCATAAAACCAATTCGAAAATTTGGTAGCAATTCTATTGCAAATACTATATTTCGTTTCATGCCTGTCAAATTATGTTTCCAATGCTAGCTATAACTAAGATAACAGAAATGATTTAAATTTATCATAGTACATGTAATAAATGTACTAGCCACTACGATATCGAGCTCCAAGTCACGTCGGAAATAAGCTACAGTAAAAGTCTAAATATAATAATCACTATTAATATTTATTCAAAGGACTTGATAAAGGTATTTATTTTTCATCACCCACAATATTCTGAAACAAAAATCATTGTTATGTAAACGAAATTATATAATTTTTTTTCTGTTATTTTTTAATATACTATTACCGATAACCACACTTTTATGCTTATAATATTTATATTGTTGCTTAAATTAATTATGAAAAAACAAATATTTTATACTCTTTTTAACATGACTTCAAACAACGCATGACGCCCTCTTACTCATATCAAAACTTAGAGAATTAAACCTTATGCATAAACAGAACGATATTAGTTTTAGACATGACGTGACGTCAAAGCGACGCCATGACAGAAGTTGCCGTCGTCGCGAGAAATTTTAAAAATTAAATTCATTTTTAGATTTTCTTAACTTATTATACGTTGTCGTCTACACCCCTTTGATTTTTACCAAAACAACATAAACCAAGAAACTAACCCTGACTCTACACTTGAAGATACAGTAAAACAGCATGATAATCGTCACTGGCAGGAAAGCGAGCGTGAGCAATACCCAACCAGCGACCATTTCGCTCGCCGGAAACGAGCCTCCACTCGTCGCGAACATAATCTGCGTCAAATAAAATATTAGACATTGATTTCGTAACTCAAAGCGATCTCTAGCACATTGAAATAATATAGAGTGCCCGTGAATATCATCGCTGCTATGTGCGTATTGTCAGAACGATTAAATAAGATTAAGTTTGGATCAGATATGGTAATTATGCTGAAATAGCTTTTACAATAGTTGCTCCCTCAATCAGTTCTCAGTATCTATAACCATGCTCTTGAAATAGGATTTAATAACTGATATTTTGCTTTCCTGTTAGTAAAGAGAAGGAAACTCGATTAAATTTTCATGATATGAAACATGAAGAAAGCTTTGATTAAAAGTATGTACATACCACTAGTAAAGCCGGTGTCAAAGCCCAACAGACCCTCATGAAGACTCCAGGGTACTCGCCCACTGCGCTGAATACATTTTCGCAGAAAGTAGACTGGCCATATACATATGTCACCACTACGGCAGACATTGCCGCGACCAAACCACGGATTTTACCAACCGGCCATTCCATTAAAAAGTTTAATATATAAAGGCCACCCTGGAAGCATATCTCTTTTAAGGTTTAAGTTGTCACGTGTTGTAACGCAGACGCTAGATTTACGCTGGACTTGTGCATGAATATCTGCCTCATTTCTCATTCCAAGATGGATACCGTAAAAATAAAAGTAAAATTTTATAGGTAGGTACTAAGCAAAATCTGGAATCTTCGCGTTTCATAATTTCTGTATGAAGATACAATTGATAAATAATTTTGGATTACCTGCGTACATAAAGTAATAGTCCCAATGATGGTGAATAAAACGCACGCAAGGATTAGAAATGCCCACGAAATCTTTCGTAGTGTATGACCAGTGAACGAAGACATAATAGTTTGCACCAACAGTGCCTGCAAAATATGAAACCAACGAAAAATATATGTTATAACAAGATGTTTATTAGCAATTTATTCCTAGCTTTATTAGTACCGTAATGACTGACAATTATTAGCCGGCAAACCCAGCCGTAAAAGCAAAAAAGGGATGAATCAAAAAATGAAGAACATGTATGAAGAATGAAAGTGCGAGCAGAAAAAACGAAAACTTGATTGAATGTACAGAAAAAACAAACCTACCACTGGCCCGGTGGATCACACGTCAATTGCAAGGTGTTGCCCCTATTGATTCATCCATTATAGAAAATGAGCTTATTAGCCTTACGTCTAGGTGTAATGTTACCTTTTTTATTTTGGATTTCCACAATACGGAAATCCGAACGTAGTAAAAGTTTTCGGTTTCTGCGCAAAGCGTGTGATGTGATCTTATATATATTTATTTCATTGTTAAAATGAAATGCTACATGACCTACCGTGGAAGAGAGTGCTACAACAAACATCGTAAAGAACAGCAGGGCAGACCAAAACTGACTACCAGGCACTCTGGCAACAAAGTCTTCCCACAACACCATAGACGCTGATGCACCTGGAGCAAATATAGTATATCGTTAACAAATATCACATAATCTGTGGTTGTAGTCTGAATACTAGAAGTTTATGATATAGAAACCTGAAGTAATAAAGTAAAATTAGGAATTTAAAATCTTAAAGATCTCCTTGGCGTCATTTATAATCATCTAATTTAAACATCTTGCCCTTGTCTACATTTTAACTTGTTTTTTTTCTTACCCCTCCAAATACTGGTGTCGTTACTCTCATAGTCTGCCTGCAATGCTCCATGTGTTGCTCCTAGTATAAAAGCACTAATCATTGAGCTAGTCTTTGATGCAGTGAAAGCGAGTAGTGCTGTCATTCCTAACTTGTGACGCTCAGGACAGTAAGCTCCTAGCATTATCAGTGAGCCTTGCGAGACCGTCATCTCGATCAGTGAATATTCTACCGCATCACGCCATATCTAAAAATTAGGTTATAGTGTTTACATTATCCCTGACACCTGGAGTCTACTTAGATTATAACCAAAAAAGATTTAAAAACGGTCCTTTTAAAGTAATAAAATTAAGGCTTAAAAACGGCACACGAAACGTATTTCGTATTAGTATTAGGATAGGATATTCCTATAGGTATTTGTAATAGAAATTACCTGGATGTTATCAAAAAGCACACTCCAATCGCAAAGACGAAACATGGCAGCCGCACCTTTGAGCCGACCAGCGCCCAGAGCAAAGCAAAAAAGAACAAAATACGCTATAACGTCTTTGAATAGCACCAACTGCAAAATTCAAATATGGCGGTTACACAATGGACAGCTAAGGAATCTTTGACTGTCCATTGGGTGAAGAATGTGAAATGAACGATATCAGTCATGAATGAGTAAAATATCACTATTAACTGTACTTACTACTATTTCTAAAGCTAAGTCAATCAGTCAATAGCGTATTAGTATAATCCAAAACCTGTCATTTTTACCCATTTTTTTAATACTTGAAAAAGAATAACTAATCACAATACAAAACTGTGAAGTAGCCCGGTAATGCATACCTTTCGCTATCAAATTGATCGCGTGTTGTCGGATAGTGATATAGAAGCCATAAAAACTGGAGAGCATCTATGCGAAAACATAATAAATATCATAGCAACTAAATGAGTATATAAATCGTGCCTATCCTTTTTCACAAGACCTATGAAGACAGCATAATATCTAACCTTGGAATAGCTATAAATCCTTTTGACTGCTATGAAATAGATAAACAGCCAGCATATAATGAAATAGATGGTCAGCTCCCATACAACATTACCGAGTCCACCTTCCAGACCATCACGTTTTAAATTCAACACGAAGTTGCTGAAAAATATTACACCTTCTTGAAATAAAATGGAATTAAATACTTTTTCTCGAAATACACGATGGTTTGATTTTCAACAAAAAAACTACAATACTACAAAACTTAAACAACAACTTACTTAGTGTAAATTTTAAAGAATTATTTATTGGCCAATGCCTGGATGATGGACAGTATATGTCCAACAATTATCAATTTCAAAAAAATATCGAAGAATATTTTTATAACGTTTGATGTATTTTGGTGTACTCATTTCAAAAATAACACTAATATTTTTGTAACAGCTCTAGTTTATAAGATTTTTTAAACTACGAGCAATTTAGGTGACAGTGCATATTCATTGAGTTTCAACTAGTGTATTATTAATTTTTTTCACAAAAATAATCGATGGCTACGAAGGGGATAGGGATTGTTTAAGCGATTCAGTCAGTTTTTGTGTTATTTGTTGTTTACAAAGTATCGTGAATCACAGAATTCGTTACATCTGCATACTTTACCTACTTCAGAGTGAATATTCACAATCTACTGTCTCTTTGCGACAATGGTCAAATGGAAAAAGACCTGCAATTAAGTTTAAGACACTCATGATCTGACGACAACCTCGTAATCATCATGATAAATAATTATATTTGTATGGTTAACGTTACGGGTATACACTAAATGGGGATAAATGGTCCTACATACTTTGTTTGCTGCCCAGAGGCCTCTTGCTCACCCTGATTAATTATTAGTGCCAGAACCATCGACATCATCCACAAGCTTGGTATTATGAAGCAATTTGAAAATTAGTATAGGTACGTCATGTTGTCTGATTTGAAACTTATACGATGTAACATGAGCATTAAACTACATTATTTAGACGTACATTCTTATTTGGATCGATCGATCTAGCTGAAAAGTTTCACCGTAGAAGAACGTTTCCTAGGGAGGTGGGAAATACATATTATGGGTGACTACTGCTGGAATCATTGTCGGGATCTAATACAGGCGGCTCATTCAAAAAACTTTATAAAAAACAATTTAAAAAAAAACAAATAAAGTCTCTAAAGTCAATACAAATAAAATCAAAAAAACTTCAAATATAATCAAATTTAAAACTAGAGTTGCTACAAAAAACCAATGGTATTTTCTAACCAATACACTACATTTAACTAAAAACAACTAGAAATATACTGGAAAAGTTTTCAGTGTTGACCAGTGCTATAGATGTGATCTTTTTCTAATAACCGGCACCGAACCGTTAACTCTTTTTTATAAATGCCTAGCCAAAAACCATACCTATTTAAATTAATATTCCTAAGCAATTAAAATTAATTGGCCCATCGTCGTCGGGTTAATTTTTTACTAGGAAGAAAATATCAATGAATACGTGTATCTCTCGATTTTATCATACAATTTGATTAATTATGTTATTAATTTGCAGATACAGTTATTTTGAAATAAATGGCGGAGTGGTAGTATCAGAATTTCATCTCATCTCAATGTTATTCTATAAGTACTTAATGTTATATTATTCTTGGAAAGTGATTCTTCCCCTAACATTTTACGTAATTAAGCTCATGAAATTACGTACAAAAAGAAAGATTGAGCCGGTGTTTCACTACCACGCTGCAGTGGTCTATGCCTAGCCGCGCATGCAGGCGTGGCGCTTGCAGCACAGTGTAACCACGGCAGGAACGAGTGAAAACAATGCACCAATAATGCTAGACACCAGGCAGCTACAGCACCCAGAGCTAATGCCGTGAACACACAGCATACCATCATGGCAAAACCTATGCCTGAACAAAAATTAAAGAAAACTTTAAAACTACAGAATCGATTTTTGTATTATGGACCAATGAAATTACTATCTTCGGTCCATTCGTTTCCTGAAAAAATCAACTTTTATTAGAGTCGCCATCTAGTGAGATTATTTTTAGTGTCACTTTTCTCACACTCGACCCGAGAAACTGACAAATTAGTGTAGACAAAGCGTTTCTCGAGTTTGTCATGCTACGCATGCTGACGACCTAACAACCAATTGATTTCAGAGCGGGGAGGCTATAAATAAAGAAATGCCATCTCTGGATCACTCACTCGAAGCGTGTTTCAATTTATGTTATTCTTAGATAGAAAATATATATACCTCTAGCCTGAGGCGCTAAATCCCAACATCTCAATACACCTTTCTTAGTAACAACACCCAACGCAAGTTCGAGGTAGAACATTGGATAGCCGATGATTATACTAAATACGTTGTAGAGAAATATGAAAGGGACCAGTTTCCGAAGATCGTGGACGTAGGGGTGCCACCACAGTTGCAATATGCCGATGCACGATGACACCACGAGTTGCCGGTAGGTAATATTGTTGGTCCAACGGTCGGCCTGTATTAGACAAGGACTTTTTCAATTACATCGTGCCATATCATGACCGTGCTAAAAAATCAAGCAAACAAACGATAGTCTTTAAAAGGATGAGGCGTTATCTTTACCCTACGGTACCGGTTTACCCTAGGACGACAAGTTCCAGAAGTTTCATTAAGCGACTTGAGAGAGTTGTACCTACACCTCAACCTAACGCAAAGTGTCAACCGCCGAGTAACAATTATAGAGTGGTGATTATTGCGAGATATGTTGTCGTTTGTACATGTCACTGTTAACGGACGATGCATAGCACTCTTTTCAGGGTTTGGGATAAATTGAGAAAAAGAAAACTCATCATCACCATAAGTGTAGCAATGACCCACTAGATAAATGCAATCAAATAGAACGGGTCACCTAATGGGATTAGTGGGTGTAAAGGTCTTCAGATGCAGCCGGGACCTACAGGTATTCTGTGTCAACTGCATAACGTGTCGTTCAAGATATAATACTTATATGGACAACCGATAGCATGTTGTGTTAGATAGAAGTGCCTTGTCTACACATTAAACTTTAACAAGGAAGAAAAGTCATGAAAAACGATAGGTAGTTTTAAAATCCTTACGATTGGACCATCACTAGATTCTGACCCGCCACTGTCGCTCAAAGTTTTAGTTCTCGAACTCTGAAATGTTAACATACTTACACAATATAGAATAGAAGCTATTAGCTGAAATTAATATTAATGATGATTATTTTAACGTACTCACCACAGTTTCACTCATTGAAATTATATACCTGTTGTGTAATTCTTTCTCTAAAATTACTTGTCGACTTAATGAATTCTTTCATGAGTGTCAAACTTTGACACAAAGAGTAATGTATTCTGACACAAAATTTTAGAGAAATAATCATCTCTATGATCATGATAATATACAAGAAATTTGAATAGTAAAAATAAATAAACTTCTTTGTTGCGTTACTGTTTATCAAACCGCATCCACATTGAACGACCCAAAGTCGAATGTCGATGGAATTTAGCGTTATGTGTTATTTAATAAATTAACTTTTCTTTTCACTTGATATAAATAAATATTAAATAATAAAACTATCTAAGAGTTAACCTAGAACGAAGTCAATTTTTACCATTGAGTGATGATTTTATTGAACACTCACATTGACGGCACATCGATGTCACGACACTCACATTGTCACGTCGGTATCAAGACACTCAGAGTGAAGTCACATCGATGTCAGGACACTCACATTGTGGGCACATCGATGTCGCGTCACTCAACTCGACGTCACGTCGTATGTGACTTTATTGTAAGTGTCGTGACTCACAATAAAGTCACATCGGTATCGCAACACATACTACATTGACGTCAAATCGGTATCACGACACTTAACTCCATGTCACTACACTCACATCGACGTCGCAACGATGTCACGAAACTCATCTGGATGTCGCGATACTTACATCGTTGTCACAACAATCAATTCGATGTTACGACATTTTCACATTAACGTCGCATGTGACTTTATTGCGAGTATCGTGACTCACAATAAAGTCACATCGATATCGCAACAGTCATACTGACGTGAAAAGCATATTTTGTTTTATTGTAAAAAGAAAATCGTTGAACATACATTGATTGACTGATTGATTAATACTTTATTGCAATAAAAACAAACACATAAAACAAAAAGAAATGAACATATATGCAAAAGGCGGCCTTATACATCGCCGTCGAACACAATATAACCTCCTCCTTTGCGATCTTGAAGCCGGTGAAAAGTTAACGTGCATTGAATTTTGCGTGACTTTATCGGTTGTTCGGACAATACTAGACCTAGCAGCAATCATCATCAGAATGTTTGGCAATGTTAAATTAGCTTTATAATTATCTCGAGTTTTGACAGTTTATATAACCTTAAAATATTATTTACAAATAAGAATCTTCCTGGCCTCCAGATGAAAAAAATGCTTAGATATTATTATATTTTAAACAAAAACTAATTTTAATTATCACTAATGGTAGACACAACCTTAAAAAAAACATGTGACCAGTCAATCAACGTATGGAAAGTGGACATGATTCTTTGCAACTAAAATTATTATAGTGTCTATGATGCAAGAAATAAAATATAAAATAATAAAGTTGTAAATACTAAGGGGAGCATAATAAAACCAATAAGTTGTTAATGTAACAAATTTAATATTTCAATAATATCTAGCTATACGTCTCAGATTTGTTGTAGCTAAATAAATCCACTATCTCGCAACAGCTTAAATTAATATTTTTGGCTTACAAACGTTAAATTAACGTCATAAGAAATGCTACAAACTAGATCAATCAAAACACAAAAAACCTAATTAGCCAAACTATTATATCCACAATTTTATCATAAAAAAGAAACCAATTTAATAATATACCTATTAAATTATAAAACACAATCTTATTATGGAAATTATAGTGGAACAATATTGAACATAATATTGCTATAGAGACTTTTCACTCTTTACAAAATTACACACCTATGTCATTTCAGTTTCTTATAACCAGCCACAAACTTAATTAAATTAGCTAAATATCAAAGCAACGATAATCGCTTTACATGGCTATACTTAAAATATTATTTAGAAATAGCCACTTTTACTTTCTAAATGCTGATAGAGTTGGGCCACGATTACACTAGTAATAAGCCACTTACTTAATAATGCTATTGGGTTAGCATATTGCTATCTTTCTCATTCTAGTAAATGTCAATTCAAAGCTACAAAAAAGGATAGAGCTATAACGTGCTATTAGATGTGGCTCAACTATTTCCAGTTTAGTTTCTCTCGGCGCAATTCTACCTAAAATTGGTCACTATGGTATAGTTGACTACTATGGTCACCGTAAGAATGCACACATTTTACAGCACCTATTTGCACTCAGCTTATATCCACTACATAATAACCGTTATAGATTCGACACAAAAATAAACTAAAAATAGTCGAAAACGTAATCTCTTATGACAGCCATGTGGTAGGTATATAAACAAAAATCCAAAATAAGTCCATACTATTATTTACTAAATAAAAATCACCATTGATAGTATTTAACTTTATTGAAATGTGTTTTTGGCTGTGGTGTTAAGCTGACGTCACAAAAATCTGTCACCGATATTTTATTATATTACGAAAGACATTATTTCATTTTGGCAATTTTATAATGTAATATATAATTACACAAATTATTATTACTACTATAATATTCAAGTAATATTGAATTTTCGTTATTCGGTTAAGTGGTTTTATTATAATAATAATATTTACACGGAGTAAAGGCACCATTTTTGCACGAATGATATTATATTAACAATAATTGGATCATATAATTAATACACAATAAGATTACGTTAGCACAAAGCTGGATACAAATGCTTCAATACATATCAGGATTACAGACTCAAACATTGATAAGAATAGTCAAAGATAGTTACAATATTATCTGCATACAACGGTTGGCATATGTAAAGACAAAATCTTGCTAGATGTTGCCACATTCTCGCTAGATGTCGCTAAAATTTGACATACTATGATGTTCATGACGATTTTTAGCAGTCCAAATTATGAATTTATTATTTTAATAACTTTTGCATTCATAATGCCTTAATAAATAATAAAAGAAAAAAAATCAGAAACCTATCGTCTTTGGTAACTCCCAAACCTGCAATACGTTTGATATAAGTTTTTTTTTAATGAATTTTTTTTTATCAATGTTCCACACAATCAAAATTAAAAAAAACAAGATTATTTTTTATTTTTCTATTTAAACATCAGAATTGATACAAAAAAAATAACTAATGTACTAACCGGTCGCTTCTTGTTTTACGCTCCACACACTCCACTTTACCGTACTACATGTCCAGGCAGAGTTAAAAACAATAATTATTTCTTTGTCGACAGTGCAAGTTGGGGTACATAAGAAGTCATTTAACACCAATCATCGATAGTTAACAAACGGCTACTAAGGAGATAATCATTCTAATTATAAAACGACGAATAAGGTTAGTATAATGGTTAAAACTATTACCCGTCTAAAGCAAATTTACAATTACAGAAGAGAAAACGTTAAATTGAGACGTGTAGACTTATTTTGGTCGGATACTGGTTTAAATCTGGTAATATAGTCATAATTTTATAATAAGACGGAATGATTTTAAAATATTTCACATGGATATAAGAGCCAGATTAAACGCGGTAGTCTTGTGTAGTTGCGAACGAACTAGTTCGAAAAAGCGCTCCCACAGATGAACTAAACGAACTAGATCTCACAATTCCTGCTCCGTAGTTCATTAGTTCGGGGTAGAAGTGCAAGAAAATGGTTAGTGTAAGTTTCTCGTTAACGCGTGAACGTGAGCACGTTAAGAATTTGTATGAAGACTTTTAGTTCTTGGTAGGCAGCGCTAAGGGCACTATACCCGATTCGATACTAAAATCTTAACGCGCTTACGATCGGCGGTGAATGTAAACTTCAAAAAAGCTTACACTAAGTACTCAGGTCCGTCAACCGAACTAATATCGTCTCACTCACCGAACTGCGAATGTAATTATGTATTCATAAATATCCAAATAAAAATTAAGAAATGTACTGTGTTCAATAATCTTTTCACAAGGAGCAGTATCAAAATAAGCGAACGAACTTCCTTAAAATAATTCAATTTAAGGCAGATGGTTCGCTTGTTTCAAAACAGCCCCTGCTGCGAAGAGCTGGTAACGTAACACGAACTAATGCACTAAAAGAGCGAACTATTCATTTAGGAGCGGCGACGTAAACTGATCGATCTCAGTTCCTAACTATTACGCCTAAGACTACAAAGATGGCCTACTCGTTATACATTTTTAGAAGCCGTAAACTAACAATATAGATGTCAATATCAAATTAAATCTTTTTAAATATAACATGGCTCTATTCCGTTTTACGTACATATTTTGTTACCAATAAATCGATAAAATTCATAAATCAAGGGAGAAAACTTGAATTAACTACCTTTATTTTATATTTTTCATATTGTAAGGCGAAATTTTTCATTCTTTGGGCTGGTTTTAGTATCACGTTGATCATCGGCGCTGACAGGCCATACATATTATGGGCTCTATAGAAGCGTTTTAAAGTTATGCCGATCGCTCAGTGCTTCGAACGTTCCAGTGTCAAACCGAGCGGACGTAGTCAGCGTATAGGGGACGGTCGGGTAAGAAGGACATGGTAGGCAAGAAGGGTATCTACTCTACCACTCGGTTAGCGCAAGAACGAGATAAAACATGTTCGTATAGCGCTAGCGCACTCCCTCCGCAATACAAATCAGTCGGCCGCGGTAAGCCGAGCGAGCCAGTGGATGCACGGGAGGCCATTGTCAATTTTCCGCGCAAAAATTAATAAAAATCAAGGTAAGTAGACTCAATATTGTTTAGATAATGTAAAGATTATCGTATGTCACTACTTATGATGATGCAGTTTAGTTCATATGCTAGCTAATGTAAGTGTTTTTAGCCAAAAACATTTCAGATTTAAAAAATATTTTGTTGTGATTGCCGTTAGCGGCGGGTCGGGCAAAACGAGTGCGGGTAAAACGGGTAGTACTCTTTTTGCCCGCCTAATATTTATATAAAATGTTCTTTGTTTTTATAAATTTTGAGTATCAAAGTATATATTTTATCTATTGCAGATGGTTTATAATTATACGAGAAGGACCGCGAGAGCTTCTTGGTCGGAGCATACTATGCAGCAAGCAATAAATGAAGCAAAAAGAAGTAGCATCAATGCGGCATCTCTAAGATATGGAATACCTTACAGTACGTTACAGCGGCGTGTCAAAACAGGAAAATGTAATAAAAAACTAGGTAGGTACACTCCTATCTTTACAAACGAAGAAGAACTCGAATTAGTGCAACATCTAAAAAAACTAGATGCACTGTTTTATGGCCTTACTAAGACAGAGTTCTTGAAATTGGCGGGTGAGTTTGCAAAACGCAAAAACAAAGAAACGACATTTAAAAATGACGTTGCAGGTAAACACTGGTTTAGAAATTTTAAAAATCGTCATCCAGAGATAGTATTGCGTACCCCTGAATCGACATCTATAGCCAGACTGAAAGCTTTTAATAAACCAGCTGTGCAGAGATTCTACGATTTGCTTGAACAGGTCACCGACAAAGAACATATTCGGCCAGATATGATATGAGTCAGAACGTCATCTACGAAACCACCCAAGGTACTTTCAATTTACGGAAAAAAACAAGTAGGTGCGGTAAGCAGTTTAGAAAAGGGGACGTTGACAACAATTGTCTGTTGCTGCAGCGCATCAGGAAATTTTACACCACCGCCCTTTTTTATTTTTAAAAGAAAAAGATTTCAAGCTCGTTTGCTAGATGGTGCGCTGCCAGGGTGTGAAGCTTCTGTGTCTGACAGTGGGTGGATAAGTGGCGAAATATTTTTGGAATGGCTTAGAGTTTTCGTCAGCTATGTAAGGCCAACAGAAGCATGCAAAGCTTTGCTTATTTTAGACAACCACGAGTCACATAAATATTACCCTGCGTTGGAATACGCCACCAACAACAATGTTGTGTTTTTGACAATACCGCCACACACTTCACACAAACTACAGCCACTTGACGTGGCTGTATATTCACCGTTCAAAACGTTTTTTGAAATTGAAATTAATAAATTTCAAAAAGCATATCCAGGTAGAGTAATCGGGCAGTATGATATCGCCAAATTAGTGACTCAGGCTTATTTAAAAGCAGCTACACCCCAAAATGCATTAAGTGCTTTCCGTGCAGCAGGCATTTTTCCGTTTGACCGACATGCCATTCCGGAAGAGTATTTTGCACCAGCTGAAGTTTACAATCGGGGCCAGGAAACTCATGCAGAAGAACATGATCAGATTGATGAAACAATGCAGATATCTGCTGCTTCGTGTAACCGCAGATCCATAAGTGTTGAAATGTGGCCACAAAATATTCCAGTTGCTAAAACAGTGGAAATACCAGCTGCTGCATCTGATACCGGATCGGAAATTGATGTACAGCGGTCGGAAGATGTTCCTGAGTCGGAACCAGACGAGCTCATAAGTGAAGCGTCTAATCGAGGATCAGAAAATGTAAAACAATATTCACAAAATATTCCTGAATCAATGGATAGAGCTACACCGTTAAATCTCAATCCTGACATTGTACAAGACAAAGCTGTTCCACTACATGAAATTATTCCATTTGAACTAAATATGTCGAACTCAAATGTTATATCTGGAACAACTACACCACCAAATACATCTGCGGATAGCAGTGTGCTTCAAGAAATTCATCCATTACCACAAAGCAGTCCGAAAAAGACAAATAGGCGGAGAAAGCTGCAGAAATCAGAGGTTTTGACAAGTACCCCTATCAAAATGCAACAGAAAGAAAAATTTGAAAAAGGAAAGATAAAGCAGGAAAAAACACACACAAAAAAGATACAGACTACAGAAAACCTGAAGAATATACAGCATAAAGTTAACCTGAAGAAGACACAGAATAAAGAAAACCTGAAAAAGACAAGACCGTCAACATCTGGATCAGCTAAAAGGCAGAAGATATCTACAATCCAGTGTAAAATAAGTGAAAAAGAATGTTATTGTTTAGTATGTAAGAAATTGTACGTGGACCCTCCGGCAGAGGATTGGATTATGTGTTCACAATGTAAGGAATGGGCACACGAAGCTTGCACTACATATTGTGGTCACGGATCCTTCTTTTGTGAACTTTGTTTTGATTAAAGTCTGATGTTCTTTTTGCCCGCAGCGGTACTCTATTTGCCCGCCTAGGGTAACCTATTTACCCGCCCCCTGTGGGCAAAACGGGTATTTTATAGATTTTTAAAAAAATGTTATTACTCAGAAGTTTAGATTTTTTATTTCGTTTTTTTTGTACCAATTGATTGCCAAAGAAGTAAAGTTAATTTAGGTTCAGTTTAATTATAAAAAATGTTATAATTCGTATGTTTTTTGTTTGATTTGCCTTAACATGCCCTTTATGCCCGACCGTCCCCTAGTCATGTGGAATGGCAATGATCACAGGAGTGTCAAAAATTATTATATTAAAGAGTTGAAAACTAATACAAAGATTAAGTAACAATTATTGGTTCTCAAAAACAAATCTATAAAAAAAAATATTAAAAATTTTTAAAAGCCCGAAACAAAAACCTTAAGTTCCCTTTAAAAAGAAACTCAATCTTAAAGTACCTAAATATGTATCAGTAATTCTAAAAAAAAACATCTCGTTGGGGCACGTATTAAATTGTTAGGTTTGGAGTGGTCTCTCAACGATTTATATTTTTTTTAAATACGTCGCGATGCCTGGAAGTAATCGCATAATCTTAAAGTACCCCTCTTTTTGCATCCGGGCTTATATATAAAGATGCCAAAAACAATTACTACTTTAACATTTTTTGTTGACATGCGCGAGTGGTTTCAAACAGTGACAACTGGTTGAAAAATGTCAAAATGTCACAAACAACAATGAAACGAATATGCGCTGATAGCTTGAGCTGATAGCCACGCGCGTAAACGTCAGCGAGGACGGTCCGCGTTACATAAAACCAGCCTTATATTAAAAATGACATAATTCAACATTATGTTGGCTGTACCGAAAGGAATAATTCAAAAATGTAGAAGCATCTAAGAAGTCGAGTATCTATAACTTAAGTCGATTTTACTTACTTAAAGCATGAAAATTAAAGCAAAAATAAGGTTTCTTGTTTACATACACGCATACGAAGATTCAGGACGCGCTTTATTAGTTGGGTTTACTTTAATCGAATTTCTAGTATGAGAATCTGAGTATTAGATGTATGCTCTGAAACTTTGATAAGCAGAAAACACTCTTGGTGTAATTGATATAGTAAGCATAATAGTTTAGTTGAATAATAAAACGATGGTCTTTCAAAGATCACATTCAAATGAAGGAACAATTCAATTTAGGTTTGAAACGCCGTTAAATACCCGAACCCGCTATACTCAGTATCCAAATACTATTATATCAGTTCTTGAATACCTATTATATCCGGTGATCACCTGAAAAACGTCAAAAAATATGTATTTTTAATATTTACTGACCAATAGGGTATTTGACTAATTTTGAAGTAATCGTTTTTAATTATTATTTATTACATTAATATTTTGGGAAAACTTACACTATTTATCAAAATAAGTTTAAATTTCCGAAACCGATCGGAATACGCTGTTTCTGTCAATATATTAGATTAAGTAAATAAACATATCGCGTCAAAGTAAAAAAAGACACTGGTTGGCTGTATCATTGATACAGCCATATTTTATGCGTGGATACGTCTATGTATGAATGAATATATGAGTAATTGATAAAAAACAACCCGGAATTATGCAACATTGTGGCATAATTGCATTTATAAATGAATAATTAAAAAAAAAACAAATTGAAGACACTAAATAAATAAATATTCGTTGCGTTCATTTATTGAATGAAAAAAGTATTCACTAGCGCCAATAGATGGCGTTAGTGCATATACTCCTGCTGACAGAATGTCCCTCCCCCTGCAGAGTAAGCATAGTTCACTTATACGCCAATAGATGGCGTTAGTGCATATACTCCTGCTCACAGAATGACCCCCCTGTAGAACGAAAACATAGACGTATCCACGTCAAAAAAATGGAACCGACAAAAAATACTAAAGGCCATCGGCATCTAATTATTTTTAAAACTATATTAAGGCTTAAAATCGATTGAAGGAAGGCATTGACTGTGCAGAATTATCGATATTTAACAGATAATTATCGATATTGCTACATCACTAAAACAAGTTACTCTTACCTCTTAAGTGTTATTTGCATCTTTTTCTGTCTCAGATACTGAATAGATCGCCGGCGGACGGTAACGGTGCTAATCCACCAGTGACGTCCGGCAGACGCGACACGTCCGGCAAATTTTCTATATGGGACTTCACTTCCGCTTTCACGGCATAGAGTTTTTGTAGCTTCACATTATACTCCTGAATAAACAAACCCAAAAGGATTGTTAAAATATTAATATTTCACCATATATCCTTAATGGTAAGGTTGGTTTTAGGATTATCATAAGATCACGAAATGTCTTGACAGCGATGTCCCGCTAGGCGGTGATAGCGAGATTGGAGGTCAAACTAATTGGCGAAATTTAGAAAGAAAATTATAGTGTAATAGTACATGCGTAAACAATGGATAAAGAGATTTACAGCCGGTTTTTGAATTGAGAAGAGTACAAAATCTCAACATATTATTCTCAATAACTTAAGTTGTCCTAGTTTTATTAAACTGCTATCAAGTTATCATTAAAAAAAATATTCAAGAGACATTTTAGTACAGTTTGAGACATCACAGGCTTTTTAGGTGGAAAGAAAGACGGGAAAAATATAATTACATCTTTTTTACCCAACGCACCTATCTTCTTCTTCTCCATGAGCATTTGTCTGTCCAGTTTTGGGCATATGCCTCCCCCAACTCATTTTGTGATCTACAGATTGTCTCACGCATACATGATTTGCCGGCTATTTGAACAATATTATCGGACCACCTCGCCTTCGGTCTTCCTGGTTTCCTACTAGATATTCGTAGCCGCTATATAGTTATATTTTGGCCCAACGCCCATTATATATTTACGTATCGCGGTGTTTCTGATACGATCATGAAAATATATCCGAAGTATAGATCTTTCCATGGCACCTTGAGCTACTTCGAGTCCCCGCACTATGCCATCTGTTAGTGTCCACGTCTCACAACCATATGTTAATATGTCCACGTCTCACAACCATTTGGGAGGATGCACTAGTCGAAAGTGCGCTTTTTAAGATCAGTATGTAGAATCTAAAAATTTCCGGCATTTATTCTGCGCTTATTCTACGACTTGAGCAATGACAAGTCGTTTTGTTAATTGTTTGTCCTAGGTTTACATATTTAGTGACCTCTGCTGGGTTAGTGCCATCGATTTAAATAGCAGCATGAGCATAATCTGAATCGCAACCTCGCTTTTAACAAAGACCCTATCGTCGGTAGTCGAAAGCTCAGTCAGTGTCGAAGAGTTCACGTAGATGAAATCACAAGTCGCCGTTTAATAACTTTAAATATAATGTTTTGCCCCCATTACAATATATTAGGTCCTTACATATGAAATTGGTGTTTAGTATGGCATCAACAAAAAGTCGAATATTTTTTAATATACTATATTTATTTAATCAAAGTACATATAAACCATAGTTATCTATGCACTTTTGTCATCTCATAGGTAGGTCATTGATCCCTTTACTGAAAAAACTATTCGGACGGGAATCAATAAAATCTTTGAAGGCGATTTGCACTGCCCCATAGGAGTTGATTTTTTTTCCTTGCAAGAAGTTATCCAAATTTCGAAAAAAATGGTAATCTTTGGAGCATGGTCTGGGGCGTACGGTGGATGTCTTAGACATTCCAATTGAAGCTCTTCTAATTTGGTAGCCGTCTGTTGTGCAACGTGTGGTCTAGCGTTATCGTGAAGTAGCAGTGGCGTAGAGCGATTGACCAGCCTCGGTTGTTTAACAGCTAGTTTTTCCAGCATGGTTTGCACTTGCTGACAATAGACGTCTGCCGTAATCGTCTGGCCAGATTTGAAAAAACTCTAATAAACGACACCGGCACTAGTCCACTTTCACAATACCCTTCAATTCTTCATTATAAACTTGGGTCTCCGGCCGTCCATGAGGCTCGAAATTTCCAGAACGAAAACGTTGGAACCAAAAACGTACTGTGTTTTCTTTTGCCATACAACCGCCATACACATCATTAACCCTTCAAGCCTTTTCCGCAGCACTGGTACCATGGTGGAACTCGTACTCGTAAATAACACAATATTTCAATTTTTCCATATTTAATACTGGGTGACGTAAATAGAACAAATAGAAGAAAAAAAAAAAAACAAATGAATACCGCCTAATGAAACACAAATACATGTGTAAATGGCTGTATAAATTTGAATTTACTAGCTTTTGATCTGGATAAGCTGATTTTTAGCTAATATGTTAAACCAGATCAAAATCTATTAAAAGAACTTACTAGGTTTGAAATGGTTTTGGAAGTCAATTTTTACTTAGACGTTTTATTGTTAAAATTATTTTAGCTCATAAAATTTGTAGAATGAAACTTAGACAAATAATTTATATATCAAATTAACAGTTTCAAACTACTCCTTCTTATAAATAATAATTTCTCAACAGGTGTTAAATAGTTTAAAAGGGCTACCCTAAAAAGAGTTTTTTTGCTCTCCTGTAAAATTTAGTCCAAAACAGTTACTAGGTTTTGAACTGGGACAGCCGAGGTATTGATTAAAAGTGATTTTAACTGGTCCCACATCCATCAACATCGCGCAGCTTTCCAAAGCTTATTATGTATGATGTCATCACCTGGTACCTTATTATTTTTCATGGTTTTCATTGCAGCTTTGATTTCATAGACAATTATTTCGGGCAGGTCTTCAGTATATCTCCTGGTTTGACACGTCTTTCATTGGGTGTGGTTGAGATTTAGACGATTATAGATCACCGTAATACTTCTCAATATTTTTTTCGTATTTCAGTGATTAAGTATAATTAGTCGTCTTAAAGTTGATTTATTTAATTTTGGTAATGTTTTTTAACGGAGTTATTCTCTTTGGCCTGTTTGGTCCGCGGGAGATATTTTATTTCCCTCTTACCCTTTAGATCTACTGTAGGATCGGCTATCTTCAGGCCCCTATCTGCCTTCTGGGGTGACGTTCTCTGGGGTGACGTTCTCTAGGCCGAGAAGTCTGGGGATAGAATAGCTATCGTTTCTTTTTATTTAATTATATTTAGATCTTACAGACATTAAATCGCACATATTGTAGAAAAAGTATTTAATACTGGCAACTCAGTTATCCACATGCTGTACATGTTTATTTTTATATTAATAAATAGTGTGATCTACACACTATTTATTAATATAAATAGTGTGTAGATGCAGATTAACATACCTGAAAATAATCCTGACGGCGCCCATGTATAAATAATAGAATTTTGGTCATCCATCTAATTTAGTCTATGCGAAAGTTGCTTAAACTTACCCACACACCAAATTCGTGAAACACAATCGCAGTCAATCTTGAGAAGTGTAATAATATAAGAAGATAATGAGGTACTCATACAAACCTCGAGTCTTGTCTCAGCTTGTTTAGCCAAGTCGCGCTGCGCCTGCGCAAAATCCCTCAACATGGCGGCTACCTTCCTCCTTTTCTCCAGCTCTTCAGATAGCCTCAGATTGTATTCAGCAAGTAGTTCCACTGCTGAGTTGACCACAGCACTCAAGCTTAATGCAGACTCTTTATCTGCAACATAGAATATTAACATCATCTCCTAACCAAGCCATAAAGCTGTATCTACTCAATTCTATATTAATCCTATTAAGTTTTAAACGGGCACGATCTTTGAAAACTATTAATTTAAAAGCTGATTTAACTGTAAAATCATATACATTAAAATTATTTTTTCTAAAGTCCCATATGTCATGTGTATGCATACTTCCACTACATTAAAATCTTTATTTTAACTGTTATTTAGTATACTGTATACTAATTGCATTTGCAAAAGTTTATTATTATTAATAACTACTACTTGTTAATATTCAGTACTGTTATTGATTGTGATGCTCATTTTACAAGGTGCTTTAATTGAAAAACGCCATGTTTGTATGGATAAGCCCATATGAAACATATATATATTTTAACACATGTAAACACGTTTATTCTACATTCTCTAATTTCTAACCATAAACTGTATTATTAATTGTAGACAATAAAGAAATGAAGACACAATATGCTAAGAAGATAATATGTAAAAGTGTAATTAAAGATCTTTTTTGGGATTGCTTAGGTGCAACTCTTACTTTTTCATCTCAGTTACAAATTAGTATTGTTAATACGAATTTGTGACCAGTACACAATTTTTTTTTACATTTATATCTTTTCAGATTGTTACATACATTATCAATTTTAAATCTCTACCAAAATTACACCAGATTAAACTAAATATATAAAAATTTTCTATACATTTAACCAATAAGAATGCCTCATGGGTATGAAGATATTTATCTTGGTGCTCACTCGCATGAAGCATTTGCCTGTAATGTAACATTTAAGAAACTTAATGTAACTTTTAAGAAACTGCCTCCACAACTCAAGATTTTCTTGAAATGTAATAATACAAATCTTACACATTTTATTAAGTCGCATACTGTATGCTATTTTTTTCTTTCACCAATGAAATTCTCCAAAGACATTATAGTTACAGTAACATGACTGTTTGCATCATGTAATGCTTGAATTATGTCTCTCTGTTGTAAGGCTAGATCTGTAAAATTAAATTACATGCAAATGTTCCACATAAGGGAGCACCTTTAGGTTTCAATGTTCATATTATTTAAAGATTATTCAAGGTAGTATAAAATATATGTATAAATGAAATTGGTGGCTGCATAGATAATTTAACATCTGCATAAGTTGTCAACAGGTTGAATACAAAAGGATTTACAGTAATGTGCAATATGCATTTTAAAATAACAGATGTGAGTTACTTCAGAAGGCTTTATTTCAATGAATTACATAAATTAAAATTTGTTGCTAATTATTTAGAAAGGTTCATTTTGTATTTTCGATACTCATGAGATAAATGAAACAAAAATAAAAAATATGTTGTCTTTATTTTCTGTTGCAAGTGCTGTAATATCATTGAGGTTATATAGGATTATTTTTAATTCAATTATTCTTTTTACAATTGTTAACAATAGATTTATATGGGTAAATGGGGGCATTTTACCTTCTAGCTTAGACAATAATTGTATTTCTGAAACTTCCGGTGGTAAGGATGCTATCCTTTCACGTACAGCTTCGTCGCTGGAAGCACTGGATTCTAATTCTAGAAGAGCCTGTAATTATATTTTCATCAATGAGCCGAGTTATTTCTTGTTAGTTTTACATTAACATACAATTTATACACTAATATTACTTGTTGGATTGAGAGTAACTATTAATTTTTTAAAGATTTATACTCATTCTTTGCTAATAAGAAATTATAACAGAAAGCTGTTATTAAAAAGATTCTCAATCCAAAACTGTTAGGGTAAAAAATAACTAAAAAATCACTAATAAGTAGTGCAAATGAAATAAAACACCTTAATTAATTCTTCAGGTTCTGGAGGATCACCAGGAGGTGTTTTCGGGCTCAATGTTGTATGAGTTTCATTAGGTTTCTCTGTTTCTGACTTCGTTTCGCTGCGTCTTCTTTCTTTCTTTTGTTTTTCAACCTTTGGTTTTTTTTCTGGTTCATTTGTTTCAGTGTCAGTTGATTTATGTTTGCCAACCTTTTTCGGAACAGCGTCATTAGGATCCACTAAACATAACACAAAAGTTAATTTAACACTTTGAAGTTCATAAGATGAATTAATGGAGTAAGGATATAATCTTTTTAGTTTATATGATTAATAAACATACCAGCTTCTTTGTATTCTTGTATTTTTTCAGAGTCATAGACTCCTCTTTCCTCCCATATATTTAATATTCTGTGCAATGAGTGTTTAGTCTTTGCATTAATTCCAGTCTTTGCCATATGCTTAAGTGAATCTAATAATACTTCTCCAAACTCTTTTCCATATTCTGGACCTTTCTTTTTACTATTTTGTATGACATCATTAGCTAAATACATAAATGTTAATTGTTTGCTGTCTTTTGCTGTAAAAAAGTATAAAAGAGATTTACTACACTTTTTTATGAAATATTATACAAAACACAGTGAATATCAAAGATAAATGCCAAAAACTGGGATATTATTATGAGTTTACCTAAAATTGAATGATTTGTCTATGCTAAATAAAATTTATAATCCACACATACAATTTTTTTTGAAATGCATAACAATAAAACCTACTAAGACAATAGTTTATTCACTATAAATGTTGAAACGTGAACTACAACATTGGTAAAACAGGACGAAAGAAACATTATCAGACCATCAATCTATGATAAAGTTATCAAAATAAATAAAGCAAATGGGAGGTATTTTCTAATACTATGGAACTATTTTTACAAAACATTACAATAATACTTATCGAGGTTTGAATATGCTAAAAAACTATTAATACTTATTGAATATATTCCAAATCATACCTTTTAGGAGTTCCTTGTACCAAGTTTTTACAATTGCGGCATGGTGTTTGCGGTGGTGGATCAACCACAACGACAATGTTTGAATACTTTGTTGGCTCGAATTTAACTCTTGCAATTTACGAACTAGTGCATTTTCCGTAAAACCTGCCATAATATTAAAAATTAAATAATTTTCTGGAGTAAATAACCTCACCGCAATTTTACCTCGACTTTTACAATGATAATGACATTTAGGGATGCGATTCGAACCAATCTAGAAGCTCAGTAGAATCGTATATCGTATATAAAATAACAGTATCGATAAAACTCATGCTAATAAGTAAAATAGGCGGGTACAGTAAGTATCTAAAGTCTAAAGCAAAGTAAGATCTCGCCTGCCTACCTACCTATTCATTGTTTATTATTAATATTGTTTAACCTAAGCACAGTATAAAATAACGGTACGCATTAATATATGACCTATATCTTTTTTATATATAGCCGTAATAGGCAAAATCCAGTATGTTTATCAGTTACTTTCTGAAAAAAGTTTAAACACAGTGATAATTGGAGGCTTTAGTGAATAAAAATGAAATTATTTACCAAGTTCGAATAAAATCGCACGATCGACTGACGAAGTGACGGTCAGAGGTGTTCAAAACGACTAAAAATTATAAACGCGCTATAGACTAAAGATACTTTTTTTAACGTGTTAATGAAGGCGCTAATTTATTACCGCGGTCATTCAAAGAAGCGTAAGGGGAATGAAGACTCGTTAAATTTTGTAGCACGCTAAACGTTGTAACACCTTAATCATTTTATGTTGTACGGTATATAGATTACGTGTTATATTAAACAATAATTCATTATTATTTAGTTTAAATAGATTGAAATAAGAGATAGCAGTACTTGCTAAATTAAAAGAAATACGATAAACTCCCCTTCATACTTTTCAGGCTTAGGACTGTTTATAATTAAATTATAGGTGTATTTAAAAATTCATTGATTTGCTATCATATATTTTATTCACATTATTTACTCACAATATAATTGTTTTAAACAACTGTTTTAATAAATATAGACTAAATAAGGAAAGAATACATGTAAATAAAATCATATTTTTTATCATAGTAAACAAATAGTTCAAGAGAAGTCCCCTACTAGAGTGAAATGTAATGTAATATGCCCAATTACAACACTATAGTATAAATTCAATGAGGAAGTATTTAAAAAAAAAACATTAGTTCCCGAAATCAAACTAGACGTCACTACAGTACGTTCTTGATTTCTCCATGACAACCTTTCCGATTTTCTTTCAAGTTTAAAAGTAAATTAGTTTTAAAACTCAATAAATAACTTATATTCTATTTGTACTTTTTCGTATATGTATTGATATCTAACTTTCAAACTTTTCTAATTTCAGTTTTTTAATATTATGTTAGTTAAAAGGAACGAAAATGACTGTCTTTAGTCATTCGTTTCCTGCAAAAATCAACTTTTGCTAGAGTCGCCATCTAGTGGAGGTGCTTTTTTAATGCTTTTGTTTTTTTTTAAATACTTCCTATCTTAAACTTACGATTCAAATAAATTGAAATTAATTTGAAAGTTAGATATTATAAAAAACACGAAAAGATGTCATATTTATTAATTTTCATATTTATTTATTTCTCAATTTACTTTTACTATGTCAGAAACAAAATTTGAATGAATATTAAAGACAATATCCGAACTAGTGACATCTAGTTTGATTACAAGAACTAATATTTATTTTTTAAATACTTTCTCATTTCACTATAGTCACTTTATAACACTAGTAGATCGTCCACTGTACTAGTTATCAATTCGAGAATGGCTCGTATTCGCTCTCGCTTCAAGCCCTCCGATTCTGTAAAATCCAGACCCGACTTCGAATTCGGGTTTGGATTTTTACAGATTCGCAGGACAGATCGCTTAATCACTAACGAATATCAAGACGGATAGCACAGCGCGTATTTATAGGGACCGAGGATCTACCAGCATCTAGAATGTTCTAAGTTAGAACCTAGAACATTCCAGGTTGGCCTCGGCCCTACCGATGTATTCGGGGCATTACCAAAAAGTTCTAGAAGAGCTACCCGCCTTTTTCTTATATATTATAGAAAACGCAAAAAATCACGTTTGTTTTTAAAGATGTTCGAACTTTTCGAGTTATATACATTTGGCCGACTATTACTCGTAAACTTACAAAGTTAAAGTTGTCTTATTAAATTCGTTATATGTATATAAAATACGCTTTCGTAACGTTTGAATTTCTAACATCATACGTTTAGCTGGTAGATTGACTCTAACGAAAATTGACACTCTTAAGCTTAATAAGTCACGAACAGTTAACTAAAAATAAATAATTTAAAGAAAAATAAAAAACCCGACTGCGTAAAAACGAATTTAAAAAAATACATGAATAAAAATAACTTAAATAAAAACTAAAAAGTAAGAATCAAGCTCAGCAATTAAGAATTCTGTTAAGTAATACAGAACAGAACGACTCATAGTCGGGGCCCCTTGAGAAAATTTGATTGGTAAAATTATATCCTAAACTATTATTTAAAATGAAAATGATAAAAGGAACCTTTAGATGATTTTAAAATACCTATTTAACGACACCCCACTTGACATAGTTCAAAGATTTTTTTATTTTTCATTTTGACAATATGGCGTCTGGTTGTCGCTGTGGTGAATTTTGATTACTGTCTTTAGTGACACTCGCAAGGGTAAGACGAATCGATTGACGTAAGAATCATCAAAATCGGCCTACGCATTTGGTCTCTCGAACGCCACAGAAACAAACATACATACATACATACATAGACTGATAAACACATTACCCTCCTTTACGTCGCGCAGTCGGGTAAAAAAAACTGTCTTTCCACACCCCTAACATTTTTGGATGACCTATCTAACCATAATCCATGATGATGACCTATCCATGTTATCGGAAGATAAAAAAAATCATTCTGAACTTTACATGTAGGGAGGCAACCAAAAAATATTTCATTCAAGAGTTTAATTTACTATAGAGTAAATATATAAGAGTTTATATTACACCTTTTTAAAATCAATCGTTTTGGAGCTAAATAGCGGACCGACGAATATAATGAAACTTTAAGGTTCCTAGTTGACTACGGAACCCCAACAACCACAAAATTGAAAATTAAAGCGACTTTGTTTGATTAAAATTGGAAAAAATAATAATGGCATTACTCATTCAAAAAATCAAATTTTAAGAGTACAGTAGCGTTCTTTATTATAGTGATCAGTAGCGTCAGTTAAATGTAAAATTAAGTTTTTCGCATGTAATGTAACATATGCATTTAATATTAGCGATTTGAATAATTAAAAACATTATTTAATCCCGCGTAAACAGCTTAAATCATTTATAGTCATCCTTTTCCAAACCCATTATGATTTGGAAAAAGATGACTTGGAATATAAGTACAATGACAAATTGAATTGTAAATTGTTTACAATTCAATTTGTCATTGTATGGTATGGTTGCTATGGTACCTTATACGAACTTACACTCCCAGTTTAATTCCTTTATGTGCTTTTTTCGGGACAAGATTTAAGATAGACAAAAGCTATCACGGACTTTCTTTTAGAACGTTTAAAGGGAATCAATTTCGAAATACATGACTTATGACTTCACTTTAGATTTCACCATTTACGCAGCGCACGCAAGGAAAGCTCTCAAAAAGTAAAATATTCTCCCATTTTTGCAATATTTTACATTGCAGCTCCTCTCCTATTAGCCATATCGTGATGTTATATAGTCTATAGCCTTGCTCGATAAATGGACTATTCAACACAAAACGAAATCGAACCAGCAGCCAATCTCTTCAGCTTTATTATTAGTAAGTATATAGATTGACGGTTAGTACAAGATAAAATTCATAAAAATACACATTTAAAGATAATAACCTTTTAAATTAAACTTTAAGTCGTAAAAATCACAACACTTAAGCGTGCTGATTCAATGGGTTATGTAGATTATTTTGGTTCTATAATGAATCCTCTCATTTCGGATTCGATCCTTCAAAGAAACTACGAGCATAGCCCTCTCCATAGTTCTCTGAGTGACTTTCATCTTATGGACAAGTCCCACTATGAGTGTCCACGTTTCGGCTTCCTATGTCATAACAGGTAGGACATACTGGTTTATTTGTAGACTTCCGAACTGTCGGTGATCACACTCTAAAGTGTATGACGCCCTCAGATAAGGTGGGAAGACGATATTCGGAAGGAGGCTGAGAGTAACTGGATGCATATAGTCGAAGATCGAATTCGATGGCATGCACTCGGAGAGACCTGCGTCCAGCAGTGGACGAACATGGCCTGATGATGAATATGTGGTGAATGTGAATATGTAAATTAATTACATAGACCTTACATAGATATTTTCATACTAGATGCTTTTACGCTAGAGGCAAACAAGCTGTTGGTTCTATCGTGTCATTTGACCGATATCTTTATCGTCCAAGCTGACGATATTTGGGTATCGTGTCGTGTAGTATCGTTAGTGTGAAATCTCTCATTATAGTAGACAAAAGCTGAAGCAACAATTTTAGTATTGTTGTTACTTACTATACGTAGTTTCTAATCTACTTAAATCTCTTCGATAAGAAAATATATGTGCCTTTATAGTTATTTGTTGGAATGCAAAGATTAACTACGTAATGACTACCACCTCTTTATAAAAATTAAAACTTCAACTCTAGGCGGCATGAGCAGGGCTTTCTCTGTTTGTTTTTTTTTTTCTTAAATAAAATTATTGACTACGTCCCAGTCCGTTGTTAATTAGGTTTGCAATAAATATTAATAAATGTTTTCTAATAAAAAATATGATTGATGACAATGACGAAAAAATGTTTTTATGTTATGTGATAGTAACAAGCAATTCTAAAAAAAATTGTTAGATTACATGATGTACTATTTTGTTATTATTTTCCAAAAGTGTAGAAGCACTTAAAATATAATAACTTAAAAGTTTCAAGTTTTTAACGTTGTTCATCTGATTTGTCAAGCCATGATTCTAGCCGTAGGATACGACATCTTTGCGATGATTGGACGATAGATAAGATATGTTACTACTTTGACATGTCGTTTGATGAATAAATATGGAATATATTACTAAGTTGGTAACACTGCTATCAAATTCTTGTTCATTCGTCACTACCTATATAGTTTGTAGCCGCTACTAAAGTACAGACAGTTATGACTAGAGTTAGGCTGTGTTGCATCCCTGTATCTACAGTCAACAGCACTCATATTAGAGAAGTCTGTCCAAATTCCCTACTTAATTTTTACGCTTAAAATGTTAATTAAAGAGTTATAAATAAAATACAGAAAAATAAACCCGTTTCTTGACGTTATGCTGAGTATATCTATAACGTAACATTCTTTTATTATGTCCTATGTAGGTATACATATATAAAGTAAAATAAAAATAAAGTAGAAAGAAAAAGGCGATGGTCTCGTCACATTGACCTTACTCAATTTAGTATTTTGCATAATCCACTATTAATAAGTTTTCACAACTATAAAAACAACTAAGACTACTTTCAAACTGGTATAAGGACATCACAATAAAGGTGTCATAATCACCCGGTTAAAGATGGACATGTTATGTAATCTATGAGAGGTTTGAAAATTACAATTAAGCTATTCCTATAAAAATAGCTTCAAACTCGGCTGTGAGCTGAACGCTGTTACAACATAGAATTTCATAAAAATAAGACAATTTTTTTTTGCTTTTTGAAGTTGAAATATTACTAAAACATCATGTTCCGTGATGTTCACCCTACAGCGAAAATTAAAGACTGCGTGACTCGGTCTCCGATATTTTTGTAATTCGATATCGCAACCCCTCACTTTAAGTTTTACCGCTCTGGATTATTTCCCAACTTGACCATTATTTTAAAGACAGAACGATTTCAAAAATCTAGGAGTCCTAAAAATTACCATACATTGACAAAAAGTTCTATATAGTAACAATTGTGAGTGGTTGTACTATAACGGATTTCCACAAAGCGATTTAATTCTATAATATTAAAGAGCATTCATGATATATTTTAAAACAAATCTCTGATGAAACCCATTTCGGCTTTACAATATTATTATAAAACTGATTTTGCTACTTGGCAAAGTATTTACTCGGGCTTTTGTCTTCAGATGCTGTGTGATAAGAATATCGCTCCTATATTTTAAACTTTTTAATAAGTAATTGGCAATTTGCACTTTTATTATGCGCTGTGCATTTTTTACATGACTCTTAACTCATCATTGCTCATACGTTACATTGCTACCGTTATTTCTCTATTTATTTCTATTTCACGGAAATGCTATCTTATAATTACTTACATAATATAATTTATATTCATCTAATATTATTGATGTAGGCCGGCATGTGGTCTTGTTTTGGAGGCATCGACCGAACGAACGATGGGTCTTCTTTCTCTACACCTGCGCGGACGCAACCTCTCAGTTGAGTTTCCAAAGGCCGCCGTGTACGCGCCACCCTTGACAGCGGCCGAGCGCGCGAAAATGAAAACGAGCTTCTAAATTCGAACGTGTATTTTTAAAATATTTACCATAAAACATTTGGATATTTTTTTTAATTGACAAAAGGAGTGACGAATTCAGTTTTATTTTGAGTTTAATAATTTATTTCCAAGTGATTAAAAATGAAGTTAGTTTTTGTTGATAACGTACCCAGTGTGCTGCTTATCTCATTTATTCTCCTAGCTAATGCCCAAAGGTCTTCCAACAATTTAAGAGACGTCGGTAAGTACACTAAATTTTAATAATAATAAAAAAAATAATTTTATTGACCTCAACAATTACATAAGCTAAGGTTCATCTTATACTGATTTAAATATTCAACTTCCGTATATTTGTATCGTAAAAAACGAGAGAAATACTTAGTACATGAATTAATTATTTTTTAATATTTTTTTTTAAGTTCATCTGCGAATAATTATATTTATTTTACTCTAAGAACGCAAGCGCATATTAACTATGTAATTTATAAAAAACATTATAGTGGCCAACATTTAATAATTTACTACTTTTTTAGTAGTTTTAGAAATATGCAATGGTTATTATATGTTTTAAATAAAATTTCGCTCAATTTGACAAGGTTTATCATTTGTTAATATGCTATGAAATTATTAGTATGATAAATTCGGAGTTTTCAGTAGTTGTGTGAAATTTACACATTTAATCTTTTAATAAGGTCGCATTGCGAATTAAGTTTTAAAAATCAATGCCAAACCGCAAATTACGCCGTTGTAATCGGAAAAAATGCCATTAAAAATTACTTTAAAAAAGTCTCTTTTTTTGACTGCGTCATTAATTTATAGACAGCATTATTTATGATTCGCTCATTTCAGTAGTGGTAGTAGTAGTTTTGTCTATGAGACAGGCGAAGGAACTAAGCCAGTCAAATCTTGGGATCGGTCGTTTCTGTGACTAATCGCTTTTAATTTAGCAACTCGAATATTTATGCCAATTAAAAATGCATTTTGATATGTAATTGGCAAACACTTAAAAGGCATTGGTCATTATTGTAATTTAAAATTATGATAATTTATGATGAATTCTTCTTCTATGTTAAAAATCCTTCGACTAGAAAAGACCTGCTACATTTTACTTTAGTTTTTTTATCCAAATAAGTATACGTTACTAGACAGTTAAACAGTTGTGTTAAATTTTGTAAGTTATAATTAATATTTACTCAAGAAACACTACGAGTTTTTCGAATTCAATACAGTAGTTTAGAAGATTACAGTTTAATTATTTTAAAAATTGAACAATAAAATACTAAAAGCCTCTTTATATTATTAGTATAGATAAATGAAATTTTATAATTCTACCATATTTATATTTTGCAAGGTTTAAAAGTTATACTTGTAAGTAAATATAATGGAAATATTTGTAAAAAAGAACTATACTAATGAATACAAGTTGATAAAGCTTAAATAGCCTTTATTTACATACTCGTAAGTAACATAAAATCGTTCAGAATGCATAGTATCTCTAATAAAATTGTTATATATTTTATGTTAAGTATCTGTCATTTTAAAAGAAAAACATCAAAGTAGGTAAGTAGGTTGTTTTAAGCTAAAACTTAATATTTGCATAACTACATGAACCAGTAAGTAAACCCAATGTTGTAAAGAGGAGATGAGTTCTCTTATTTGTTTGTGTGCATTGAATAAGCACAAATATAACAGAGTCCTTTAAAAAATAATCTATGGGAAGGTACACCATACGCTACTGAAATAGTCTATAATTTCCGAGTGCGAAGTCACAGGAAAACAGCTAGTGTTTGTCACATCCTCCAGAATCAGTGAATGCTCTACCAGAATGACAGAAAATTTAATTAGGATGTTGATTAGAATGACAGTTATATGCGGAATTGCGCCCATGTTAAATACTCTTCAAAACCAGAGTAAATGGGCACTTCCTGGGTAGACATATACAATTAGGTCACATCTTACTAATCACCATGTCAGATAGTGGCAAAACGTCAACCCAGTCTTAGAATAAAAACAAATCGACGCTGTTGTAGCAATTCCGTAGATAACTGGGGGCCAATTCTACTAAATAAATTTTGTTTAAATCGAATCGAAAACGGATCGAAACCGAACGAAACTACAGATTTTAATGGTTTTTCTATTCTACTAAGTGACATACGATACAATTCCAGCTAAAATAGAACTGGAATTGTATTGTATGTAACTTCGTACTGTTGTTTTATTATGTTGGTATGCATATTCGCGCGATCTTGCACGCCGCAATAGATATGACTTCCTCTGTCTACATAAAATAGCTCATTCGCTTATTAATTCACCTGTAGTACTTTCCTTTGTCCACATTTACACCAGGCATAAGTCACTTTATCCCAACACATTTTCAATCCAAGTTTACAAAAACAATACATCTTCTTAAAACGGGGTTTTAAGGAGATGTATTGTGTGTATACACAATATATAAAAATAATATCTGTTAAATTTTAATAATAATATTGATACAAACTGAAAGATTATTTTAGGATCTGTTCATGTTCATACTGTGTATAACACAGATCTTAGATTATAGTCTAGTCGACATAATTTAAATGTGTTTGTAAGTTACTCTATTGATATGTTTGTATACCATTTATTGTATATATAAAGATATATATTTTTGTCAGCATAAAAACCTTGAATTATTATTGCTTCCGTTACTCAATATACAAGAAACGACCAGAGTTACACATAATTAACCTAATTTAATTGAATACAATAATCAGAAATCAAACTTGCTACTTCAGAGATGAGAAATAAGTTCTTCCTGTGTGGTCCCCGACTACGGAATCCAGTAATGCATGACCGCTTGGTATATAAAAGTACTTATAACTACACTGTAATTTTAAATACTAAGTAATCGCGTATCATGTATAATTTTGCTAATGAGAATGATGTGCTAAAAGCGATACTTATTTTAATACTTTCAAAACTACTTTCTAAATATTTGACATGCAACTGTGTGCCGGATATTTGCATATAAGCTTTGCATATTATTAAATATACCTAGGAGTACACACTGTCATAATTACGATCCTATTTTAGTGTAATGGCGAAATTTTAATATAAACGAATATCGTTCTATTTGAAACCACATAGCCAACAATTCATCGTAATATGGTGCAGGTATTTACTTTAGATTTAATTTAATTATCGTACTTATTATAGCCGAAAAACAAATGTATTGCGAAAAAAATAAATAAAATAATTATCCCAAACTTAAAATGTACAGGAACACCTTTAGAAAACTATTGATTCATAGTTAATTACATTTTCAACTTTTTTATTTACAATTGAGACCTTTTGAAGAACTTTTTGAACTGGGTATTAAAACCAAGGGTTTACGGTAGTTTTCAAAAGGTATTAGTAATATCTGGGAATATTTCTGTGTGTGTAAATCGACAATCTATTTGGTACAGTCGTAAAATGTCTATGACGTTGAGTCACTCACGTGCTAGTTATATTAACTATTTGGTGGTTTATCAGTTGGGCTTTTCACCGACAAAATGAATTGTCTATGAGTGTTGCGTCATTGTAATCTTTCACCTGCCTACATAGGAGTTACGTCGAGTTTGACTGATTCGTTTAGTTTATGAATCATTCAACGACAGAAATTTTCACCGACGGATTCATTGTTATATTACCACAATGTGTCAATTTTGCAAATGATTTTGAACTCTAACTTTGATTTATTAAAGTTTAAAACCAAGTGGAGAAATTCGAAAATTTCGGATAACCTGATGTGCCAGTGATACTTTATACTACAATGTAAAAAATAAAAAAAAAGATTTAAATAGATGCGGAAAAAGATTTGGTCATAAAATTAGAAGTAATTTTATTTTAAGCGAAGTGATATTAGCCCAAGCAGCCTAGTCATCCGTAGGTGTTGATCTATTTCATGATTAAAACCTCAGCGTTCGATGTCATACTTTGTTGGCGTTTTTGAGTCAACTTTAAGATGAAACAATGCAGGAAAAGATTTTTAATTAGGTTAATCCTATCCTATTTTATTAATATTATAAATGTGAAAGTTTCTTTGTTTGGATATTTGGATGTTTAGTTGTTTGGATGTTTGTCGGTCAATCACGCCGAAACTACTGAACGGATTTTGATGAAATTTGGTATACAGATAGGGTATTAACTGACTTAGATAATAGGATACTTTATATCCCACTTAACATTTCCCTAGGGTCTACGCGGGCAAAGCCGCTGGCGAAAGCCGCTGGCGAAAGCCGCTGGCGAAAGCTAGTAAGTATAAGTATAAAAGTATATAAATATCAGTCTAAAAAGAAAAATTCTATATATTCGACTTTGTTTCGCAAAATTTCCAAAATAGAGTGTGTAGCGTTATGCGTCTCTCTAGCTAGACTGATGGAACTTTGTTTTCAAATATTAATAAATAAACAAATAAATATATTTTTAAAGTTTCTCTCTATCATTGAATATGGAAAATTTGATGTAAAGGGTTTCTTTTTTTTATGTCAACAAGAAAGGTATATTTAAAATATAATTTATTCTGTCAACACATGAAAACGTATTTTGTTACCAACTGTAGTTGAAGTAATTTTGCAATGAGAATTATAACTAAAACCGAGGATGACCGAAGGTGTAATTAAAATATGTATTGAGTCTCTTTTCAATTATAATACAAGGTGTGAAATATAAAGTATTAGGCACATTTAGCTTACTGTAACGTAGGCTATAATAAACTGGTTACACCAAATTGCTCTAACAATAACAAACATGTTAAAGTCAGCTTAACAGTTATTGTCAAATTTGACATAAACAATTTTATTGCTCTGATGGTACAATTCTGCCTTAAACAGGGAAAATGAGATCAAATTCCCAGCATAATATAGTAAGCTAACTTATTTAAACATAACCTTGTAGAAGCAGAGGGTTAAAATCGCTTCACTCTTATAAATTACTCTGTATTATATATGAAATTGATTCGGATGCTACTTTTACTTTCGTCGTTGAGCAAGGTACTTCTTAATTAAAACCACTGCTACGCGAATACAACTCCACGATGTTAAAGCAATTTTCCTCTTATAACTTGGGCCATTATCGAAGAATGCATAATTCGGATTGGGTGCCACTTTTACTTCAGTCTCTTGGTGCGATTTCTCTATGACGTTTATAGATGTTTTAAACGACAATGGTTTGAGGTTTTCCATTGCAAGTTAACATAATGTTGTAACAATGTGCTGTGTA